AGGCACAGCAAAAGCCAAACCCTGCACGGGGTTACAGCCACCCAACCCCACCCAAGTCAGCATCCCTGGGACATTGCCCTGTTGGAACAGTCTGTGTCTGGTGAGCAAACACCCCACAGCCACGCTGAGCTCTGCTGAATCCTCTCCCCAGGCTGCCCCTGCTGCAGGGCTCTCACTGATTATTGGTGTAAGGCTGCAGAACCTCACCATGGTGAATATTGTGCCCTTGCCTCACACAGGGGACATGCTTCACTTGTTTAGAAGTCAGCAAAATTCATGTGCACATTTGATGGTGAAGTGCAAATTTGTCTAAAATAATAAAAGTGCAAATTTATTTAAAGAAAGAAATAAATTTATTATTATATATTATATCATATATTATATATTATATACATTATATTATACTATATTACATCATATTAGTATCTATCATATAATTATAATAATATATTTATATTACTTAATATATAATTATATATTAATATATAATAGAATATATTAGTTATTAGTATATATTATACTATATTATATTATATTATATTATATTATATTATATTATATTAATTATAATTATATAAATATAATTATGATATAATTAAGATAATATCTTTGTATATTATATATTATTATAATTATAATATATTAATATTATATATTATTTAATTAATTAATTGATAAATTAAATAATCACTGCTCCAAGCACAGCAGGGCCAGTGCACCCCAGAGCCAGGGGTACAGCCAGGGCAGCCCCTGTGGCATGGGGACAGTGCTGAGAAAACCTCCTGTCAGCCTCGTGCTCAGCAGCCACAGTTCCTGCTCAGCTGCACTGACCCCCTCAAGGGCTGGCACTGAATTTTTAGCAATGCACAACATGGGATTTGTGTGAATCCCCCATTTCCCAGGGACATCCTGCTCTGGGACCCTCCACTTCTAAACTTGTTTCCAGGGACAAAAAGCAGGAGTGGGGGGTGAGGAGGGGGAAGAGCCAGATTCCTAGCAGAAATTTGGAGCCAGCTTCCTCACTAAATATCATTCTGGCTGCACTGCAATGCCTCCCACCACAAGAGTCTGGCTGCAAAGAATGCTGTCTCTCCAAAGCCCAAGAGCTTTGCCCAGGATTTTTCCAATTGTGTCTGTCATTCTGGATGATTGGTGAAATTGCCTGAACCCTCAAGACACCGCAGGTCTGCAGGAAAAGTCAGGACACTGGCTGAACTCAACAGGGAGATGAAGAGATTTGGGTAAAATTTAGAGCAGCTCTCCCACAGACATGCAGCAGCATCTGGTGCCTGAGTGAGGGATGTGAGCTGTGCCAATTTTACCCATCTTCACTTTCCATTTCAGACAGCTTTCAGTGCCAGCAGGACCCAGAGGTGACAAACATCTGCATTCCAGCAGCTCTGGCTCCTTTACCTGAGCTATCAGAGCACATTCCTAGGCAGGCACTGCACTTCCTAGTCTGGCTTGGCAATGTTCCTTCATTTCAGGCAAAACAAAAATGCATTTTAGACTATTTCCCCAGTTCCACAAGTCATTCTATTTGAAAGTAAGCAAGTTATTCTTTATTTGTTGCTACCTCAATTTTAAGGAAAAGAAAGTATAAAAGACAAAAATCAGCCAAAAAACCCCAAAAAGGCATTTTCAGAATAAAGCAATGACAAAATACAGTGTGTTGGTTTCACTAACCTTAAGTTTTTGCTACAGTTATTCAAGTGAAGTTTTTTCCAATAGCTTATTGATTGCAAGCTTCATTAATCTCTTGAATTCCAACACCCATGGGCTCGGTTTTGCAATATCAGTGGGAATACTTCCAAGCCACACACTCTACAGAATCCATGAACTGGTGGGCTCCTGTTATCTATTTCCCAGCCCCAGCTGCACTCACACTCACTGCCTTTTGCAGGTGGCCAGCAGCATTTCCAGCAGGAGAAAGCTCCATCTCTCCACTTACAATCAGACTTTACAATCTAAACCACACATATTATTTAAATCACCATTCAAAGAATGCTGTAGAGAAGAGGAAAAAAAAGCAACCCACTGGAAAATGACCCCTATGCCTGTGTTTAATATGAAAACATGATTTTTGTAACATGGAGAGCCAGCTCCTGCCAGCACTGGTGGCACCCTGGAGCTGCTGCCAGATGCTGGAGGTGCCATACCCCATTCCTTGGGGCTCTTTCCCCAAAGTACAGCCACAACAGCACTGTGCCAGCCATGGTTTATCTCCAACAAGCACTTTCATCACCCATTTTAAGGCAAAAGCAGCAGCAAAGATCATTATCAGCTCAGCCTTGCCCCTCGCAGCTCAGGTGGTCCATGACTTATCTCACTTTGAGCTTACCCAAACCATCAAGGGCAGCACTGGAATTGCTAAAAGCCCCACAAAGTATACATTCATACATTCAATAGCCAAAACATCTCTGTGAGCATGAAAAGTGAGAGATGGGATCGTCATCAGTGTGACAGCAAAAACCAGACCACAATGCAGATAACTGGGAGAGTGTCCTGATCCATCAGGCACCACTCTGGCAGCTGCTAACTGAGGTGACTTTCTGTGTTTTTCTGAAGGCTGGCATGAGCACAGGAGCCCCAGAAAGCCTCTTGTAATGCCTGCCCCCTCACAGGGAACATTACGAAGCCGTCAGCTTAAATTTGGAAAAAGGGTGGGTTTCTCACTTTATTGATGCACTCTTCCACAGAGGATTTTTTTCAAATCTACATCAAACAAGGAAAAACAAATGCTGAGAGGGCAGATTTAGGGCAATTTATCAAGGTCTGGGAAATAGCTTCCAGATGGATGGAGCTGTTTGGTGCTGGCTGGTGAGAAGGAAGCAAGGTATTGTTATTGAATTAGCATGAATCTCTGGTGGAGAGCTGCGTGGTAGATAGAGTGCTCCTTTCATATGGTTTGCATTTGGACCTGTCATATTTCATTTTTATTCAAAAACCTGTGGTAAAGACACACAGTTCTTTTTTCTGCTTATTCAATTTCCACCAATTCTGCCTGAACTGTTGGCCAGTGTTTTTAAACCCTGCTCCGTGGCTGGTCTGTTTGCTCTTTGCCACGCTTGGCTGGCAGCTTGGTGCTTACAGGCTCACAGTGGGTTTGGGTTTTGCATTCCCACACTGATGTCACCTGAGACAGTGTGTGAGAGAGGAGGGAGAAGAGCTGGATGCTCTGTGAGGTGTTTAAACTGAGTCACATCAAGTGTTTACCAAAACCCCTCCAAGGAAAATGATGCATCCTGACTACAATGTGCTTATAAACTGGAGGGTTATTCTGGATTTTTCTTTTTAATAAGTCTTCCCATCAAAAACGTGTCTTTTAGCAATATAAATGCATCTACACCAGTAACTTTCTTTCTAATCTATCCCAGTGAATAAGGGTTACTGCAAAAAAACAAAAGAACAATGACAAACAAAAATCTGAGGGCCAAAAGGAGAAGATATGCTCATAACACATTTTTACTTAGAATAACCTGGATACCTGCTCCATGATACATATCTTACAGAGCAAAGATTTATGTGTTTGCCTTCTAGTTCTGAAATAATTTACTTTTCAAGTTCCCACATGAAGAATTCAACATAATTTATGTTAAAAATCAAATTAAAATGACCATTTTGTTAATAACCTGAAGAGATAAATAGATTGGTATCAAGTAGTTTCAGGTAAACAGATTTTTGACAATACAGTCTTTTAAATCCTAGAAAAGTTTCTGGTTGATATGCCACTGAGTAAAAAGATTTCTAATGACAGAAGATCTCCAAAGCTTTTTCAATTATTTAGGAGAACTGTTGTTATTCTTGAGTAGGGCACTGGGGTGAAATAGAAGAAATAAGCTTTATATTTTCCCTTTCCCAATGTTTTTGTCAATTACCCTGGGATGCATCCCAGGAAAACAGAGAAGGGAAATGGTGATATCATCAGAACCAATTAATTCCTAAATCCTACCTGAACTATAACACACAGATACTTGTGCTTACTTCCCACATGAATGTCTGGTTTTGCCCTCCTTTTTTCCCCTATAATTCTTATTACTCTGCGTTTTATGAGCATCTGTTTCAGCTGACCAGGACTGTAAGAAGTATCCAGAGAGGCCAATAATAAAATCCCAATCTGCAGGATGCAGCCTATGCTGGCCATAGCACCTGAAACCCCCCAAGCTGAGAACAGATCATATGCCTCATTTATTACTTAATCCTTCAGCTACTGACTCCTGAGCTGGATTTCCAGCTACATCACTCTGGGACAGTGCCCTGGTGTCCTGAAGCTCTCACAGTGAACAAGGGGAGTTATCCATCACTGCTGAAGAAACTGCTTTACTCAATGACCCTTTCCCCATTTCCCACTGTGTTATCAGGAAGACCACAATGGGAATCCACAGGATTCATATGTGCAGATCCCTCAGTGGATGTTATAATGAATTCTCTCTGAATTCAGAGACAGCTGATTTAGGGGTTGTGTCTGGTCAGGGGTCACCCTTCTGCTCATCAGTCTGTGGAAGGTAAATGTAAACCACCAGGTGTCAACATTCTGTCACCATGGACCAACCTGGCCCTGAATTGTCACCTGAACTGCCTTCCCTGTGGCTGGGAGCCTGTGTAATGGTGATCTGGTTGCTGGCAGGAAACAAGAAATGAAAAGGAGGATAAAACCCACTTGGCATTTTATATGGATATCTACATCCAGAATCAGAGAATGCCCATGGCTGGAAGGGACCTCTGGAGATTGTACAGCCCAACCACCCTGCTCAACACTGGGGCAACCAGTGCAAGTTTCTCAGGATGATCTGTGCAGTCACAGCACAAAACAAAGCCATTCCAACTGCACAGGATGACATTTTGGCAGGGCACAGCTGAAAAGTCACACACAGCCTGCTTGAGCAAGGAACTTTGGAGCTCAGTTCTTGTAAAATCAATTCCTCACAGCACAACCATTAAAGAACCACAAGTGATGGGGAGCAGCCCCCTGCTCCTCAAGTAGTTCACTGCAGCCATACCTTGAAGCCAAAGGGGCAGGTGCACTGGAAGAGCTCCACGGGGTCACTGCTGCATGTCCCGTTGTTCTTGCAGGGGCTGGAGAGGCAGGGGTTGCACTTGGACACCACACTGAGATCCACGGGCTCTGCAGAGGCAAACACAGAATGAGTGACAGGGTCTCTGCTGTGGGGATGAACCTGAGGTGTCAGAAAGTCTCTTTTTCCCAGCCTTGAGACCGGAGAAGAGGCAGAATTCCTTGGCTCTGGTTCTCAAGGTTGTTTATTTGCTCTTATCCCATACATTGTTTTTCTCTGACCCACTGAGATCTGTCCAGCAGGTTGGGCTGTAGCACTCTGATGGCCTCAGGGCAGTGTTATCTTTTTATACTAAAAACCACCTGTACTTTATTTACAATAATTTTCCAATACCTATCACCTATGTTAGACATTCTGTCTCTACTCTAAACCAATCCAAAAGTGTCACCATCACAGCAGAAGATGGAGGACAAGAAGAAGAAGGAGAAAGACAGAACATACCCAGATTCCTCCATCTTGCCTCTTGAACCCCCATTCTAAAACCCCAAAAATTCTACTTTTTCACCCTGTGAAGAATTCACTAACATTCTTAAACTCTTGTGGCTTGTAACTCCTCTCACCAAGTTGGTAACTTTTTCCATGGGTTAAAATCGAGGCACAGGTGTTGTTGACTCCATGCCACGGTCTGTGAGCCCCCTGCCAGGGTCTGGAGTCCTCCAGGGCAGCCAGAGGGATGTCCTGGGTTCCAGCATGTTAGCAGAGAGCTGGATTGCAGAATGAACACCTCCCATGCACACCCCAACACTTTCCCCCAAGCACTGGCACAAATGCACAGGCTGCAGGTGCACTGGGGATTCCCAGGGATCAGAGAGGCTTTAAGCACTTAAATCAAGTGCTAGGCAAGTCTCAATGATGCTCATATTCTCCTGAAGATGCAAACATATGCTCTGAAAAAAGCATGTTGGGAACCTCCAGGGAGTGGGTTATATATATATATATATATATATATATATATGGCTCTTTCAGCAATTTTTCCTGTTCTCAGTTCTGGAAATCCTGCAACAACAACCCCAGGGAACTGTAACCTGACATTTCTATGGCTGATAACAAGAATGAAAGTGCAGATGCAACAACATAAATAAAAACCATGTACAAGACAGATTTAGTTAGAGACTTATAGGAATATTTAGGTGCAAAGTGCTCTACCATCCTTAATTTTAACAGATTTTGAAACTTATTTTCTTCCCTTTCTGCCCAGAAGAATGATCAACATTGACCTATCTCAGCAAAGGGCAATAAAGCCAAATATGTAAATAGGTAAATGTATACAAGTAAATAACATGGCCATATTTAAACCATCTAAAAAACCTCATATTTGTAGCAGAAATCTTCCAGAGAAGTAGTGAAGTTTGTAGGTGAGCAGGAAAACAAACACAGAGTAAAGAACACTAATTACATTTGGGGTCCCAAGTCAATCAATATTTTAGGGTTGAGATTTTACAGAAAGCTAATTTAGGCAGTAATATTCACAGTTATATTCACTGTTAAAACATGGTAATTTTTTAAATGGCTACATTTTAAATAATAATAAGTATTAACTCATTGGCTTTTATATGTAAAAAAAGAAAACCTAGCACTTTAAAGTGGCTTAAATTATATCAGGCAGTAAAGGCCTTAAAGTGATTTTATTTAATTTTCAAGGAAATATTTTTTAAAATAATTTAAAATTGGTACTGTACTAATCATAAATGGGCATAGAGCTTCTGTTACTGCATGATAAATGGTAAGGAGGACTAAATTGTGAAACATACTGAAAGTGAAGAAAAGAAGCTTAAATTTGATGTTCAAGAGAAGGTGGAGCAAGAGTTACCAAAACTAGGGATGAAAAAATCCCTTCCAGCCAGGGATTTGCTTTGAGTTGTCCTGCATGAGTTATAAATGTTCACTTGGACACTTGCAGAGCACCAGCAGGGGTAGGAACATGGCACAAGTGGGACTGAAGGGTCTCAGGTGACAGCACTGGGCTGTGTCTGCTCCTGCAGTGATGGTGGTGCCATCAGGGACTGACTGGGACTGCACAGGCAGCAATGAGGGAGAAATACACAGGAAGAAAATACTCTAAAAATTAAATGAAGGACTGTTGTAATCTTATTTTATGTCTAAACACAATGCCATACATGTCTTTACCTTGGAAGAGGAAATCACACCTGAATTCCTGGCACTGACAGGGGCTGGAACGTGACATACCTGAGTTACATTTGTCTTCATGGTAAAATAAACAAAGAATAAACAAAGGTGGCTCCTCTGAGAGCTCATGAGACAGGCAGCAGTGTTGCTCTTTCAGATTTAGAGGTCAGTTAGCCAGAATTTGTTCTACTATTTATTTCATAATAGGTGTACATTTTCCATTTATTTCTACGGCATAGATCAAAGCTAATCAATGTAGGAGCTAATAAGAACAGTGTTAGTTCCTAGCAGTTAAGTAGTTCATTACTTTGCCCTTGTGGATTTGATTTATAAATCCATACAGCAAAATGCCCTCAGCCCAGCACATTCCTTTCCTCTACTGCATAGCTGGGAGGGCAAGTTAATAAAAAGCAGAGCTGAGTTTGCATGACTTGCACATAACACACTTTTATTTCCTTGGCTCTGCTGAGACATAACCTCCTGCTCAGGCACAGGCTAAAAACATATTTTTAACAAGAATAAGTTAAACTACTTTTTACATTATTTACTAATGTGAAAGTTCCTGGAGGTCACAGAGGACATCTGAGCAGGACCTTCACGCAGCAGCTCCAGGTGCCCAGCCCAGTTTGGGCCAAGCCTTGGTGGGGACCCAGGGTTTGGGGTCAGGGCTCAGCACCCCCTGAAATGGGAACAGGGTGCACTGAGACTGCCAAACCATGCCCTACTTTGCAGAATATTTGTATTTTCATGAGCAAAGGTGAATTTGTCAAGGGCCAAGAGCTTCTTGAACTTTACTGCCACTTGTCCAGACCATCAACTGTTTCTGCTAGTGCAAACACCAACTCAAATCAACACATTATTTTCTCCTTTTCTGTTCAGATAAAGCAAGCTGGGGGGACTTTTGGGATATTAGAAAGAACACGAGCTTTCTAGTGGACCAATCTAATATATACATAGAAAGCATACAAGTACATCCAATATCCTGGATCACAGATGTACTGATCTCTTGCCTAAGAGTTGCTTGCTTAGTTCAGAGAGAAAATGAGTACAACTCTTGATATATCACAGCTCAGAATGAAGAACACATCCAGTCTCTTTTGGTTTAATTTTCAGATCCTATGTAATATACAAAATCAATTATTTTCTTTGGTTCACTTCATGGGAGAAGCGCATTATTTGGTATTTTTAGTACTTCTTATATTTTTACTTCACATTTGAGACACTATTGTAAAGTCTCTGCTTTGATAATTATGGTTAGAGTTCTGATAGTTTTGAGACTGCCGTTTCAAAGTAATTAAATTATAAGGTTACAGTTATTAAAGATATATTTGAGAAGACATAAAATTCCACTCAGCCTTGGGAACCTGTGTTTTAAACTCACCCCAACACCACCATTTGTTTGTTCAGCAGTTTAATTCCAGCACCTATAAAATCACCCTGCCAAGCAGTGCTGTAAATGGGCATGGCACTCTGAGAGACATAAAACCAGGCTTTATGCCCTCATTTCCATTTCTAAGAGAGGCTACTGATCCATCTTTTCCACTATAAATATAGCTCCATCTTCAAGTACTTGCTGGTGAGCAAAGCAAAACTCTGAACTCTTTTTTTATGAGAATATGCAGATATGACTTAATCTCCACCACTCGCTAATGAGCGACTTAATCCACAAAAAAGTAGATAATTTGTCTGAAGGCTCTCTAAGGAGTACACTCCTGCCACTGAGCACCCCAAATTGTTCAGAGCTGCCCCTCAACCCTCTCCTGAGTGAATGCACACTGAATTCAGGCATGACACATTTTCTGTAATCTGCAGTTTCTGAATCATCACTGATGGGAACAGTTTGCAGATCTGCAGATGAAAATGTACTTTTTGGCACATATTTGCTTTAAGAATTCTCTGTTTCTCAGTTTTCAAGCAAATGTACATGATAACTACAGCGCTTTATGTTTTTATAGTACCTCTTATTTTCTCAATTTTTTTGGGGCAAGTCACAGGCCAAAACAAATTATTTGTTCCAATAAGTTTGAACAACACCTTATATGCTAACGTGTCACTACCTAACCTGGTGTGAGCATCAGGAGCACTCACTGCTGTCAGGCTCCCTGCTTCTCCTGCCTTAGTGGCTTAGTGGAGAGTGGAGTGCCTCTCCTCTCCTTGGTGGAGCAGCTAACTGCACTGTGGGGAAGAACACAAGAAAACACAACTGTTGGAACCCAGGACATTCCTCTGGCTGCCCTGGAGGACTCCAGACCTTGGTAGGGGGCTGAGAGACCTTGAGTTCTGACCAGAGTCCTTGTTTTTAAGGGAGTCAAAAACACCTGTGCCTTTGATTTTAACCCATGGAAACAATTATCAACTTTGTGTGAAGAGTTACAAGCCAGAAGAGTTTGCATAAAATGATAGTTAATTTGTCACAGGGTGAAAAAGTAGAATTTTGGGGTTTTTAGAATGGGGGTTCAAGAGGCAAGATGGAGGAATCTGGGTGTGTCCTCTTTCTCCTTCTTCTTGTCCTCCATCTTCTGCTGTGATGGTAGCACTTCTGGATTGGTTTAGAGTAGAGACAGACTGTCCAACAATAGGTGATAGGTATTGGAAAATTATTGTAAATAAAGTACAAGTAGTTTTTAGTATATAAAGTTAACACCACCCCAAGGGCAGGCACTGTGTCACAACCCAACCTGCCTGACAGATCTCAGCAGGTCAGAGGAAGAATGTAACAGATAAGATAAAATAAACAACCTTGAAAAGCAGAACTGACGAATCTCCACTTCTTCTTTGGTCATGGGGCTGGGAGAAAAAGACTTTCTAACACCTGAGGAGACGTGTTTCACTGAACACCATTTCAGAACGGAAACGCCAGACACAACCTGGAAGGAACGCGATGTTGCGGAAAACAAACCCCAACCCCAACTCCCCCCCAATACCAAGGGTGCCGGAGCCCAGCCCGGTGGGCAGAGCCTCGGGCAGAGGGGCCAGCTCGTACCTGTGCACTGGAAGTGGTGCGTGGGCGTGGTGAGCAGCAGCCTGTCCGCCATGGCCTCGGGGCCGCGGCAGCGCGCGATGCCCGGCTCCTTGTAGCCCGCCTTGACCCACTCGGAGAGCCAGCGCAGGTGGCAGTCGCAGTGCAGGGGGTTGGTGCCCAGAGCCCTCGGGGTGCACGACAATTCAATTAGCACAATTAAATTAGCGCAAAGACAGCAAACAGCTCTGATCTCGCCAAGGCACGGTTTATTCTACAGTTCTACATTATTGTTTCCCAACGAGGCAAAGATCTGTTGAGTATTCAGGAAGGATTTTAGGTTCATCTCCTGCTCTTCTCCTTTCTTCCCATCATTAGTTAGGGAAATTATATAAACACCTAAGAAGAAATCCCTTTTTCAAACAGTTGTGCTTGAGCAATGTCACCAGACATATTGGTTTCATCAAATTCATCACATTGATTCCCTTTAATTCTCTGTCCTTCCTGAGCGTATTCTAACCCTGAATTGAGTAATTTAGTTTGGCTCTGATGACTCACATTAATGACTCCTCACCAGATGAAACACATATGCAGAAGATACCTCCATTTTCCAAACTGCAACCCAGTGCCTGCTAAGTTTATTTATGACTTTGAAAACACATTTGCTGCTTGACCCATCATTTGAGTTAGGTCAAATAGTTGAAGAAGATGCATTTATATAGCAAAATTACAACTCTCAGAATTTTTCCTTTATTCATGGACAGCTATCCAAAAGAAAACCAATCTTTTAGCCTTAAATTTAGGTGCTGCCTTGACTAACTTGTGCTTCTCTTTCTCTTAAAGAAAATGTCTTTTTAGGCAATCAGTCAATTGCAAACAAAGTTCACACTTCAGAAAAATCAGTTTGAAGCCAACTAATTGTTTGAAATGTGAAGAGATGCATGTTGAAAGTCTGTATTTATTTTGCTTAAAGTCAGTGTAAGACTTCAGCTGTACAACACCTGAATTGACAAGAAAGGAAAATAAACTAAATAAAGAATAGCACAAGGAAGAAATACTAAAGGAACCAATGATTCAAATCAGCTTTTAGACTTTAAAATTTCTGCATATGCTATAAACTATTTTTAAGATGGTACTGTAAACTCAAGCTTCTTTCAAATAAAAACATATCAGGCAGGATATTAAGATAGAAACTTCAGTAAATTTGTTGATACATTTCTATTGGAGTGACTAATGAACCCACTGTGCCCTAGACAGATTCATAATGAGAGTTCATGGGTTCAAACCCTGTCTGGGGCTCATTCATCAAAATTAAATGTGTACTGCAGCTCAGCATTAAAAAATACCCATCCACTCCTCCTGTAAATCCATTGCTTACAATGGAAAAAAACTACTGGGTTGACTTTTTGACCCCGGAACTGTGATCAACTGGCTCAGTTGTCCAAGGTCAAACAAAATGCAGCAGTGAAAGCTGAGAAATTTTTAGTGTTGAGAAACTTCCATATATAAAATGTGAGTGGGAGGACAATGGAAAGCTTGTTACCCTGTTAATTAATATTTATAAACTACATTAGAAATAAAGCTGCTCTACAGTCACTAAAAAATGATTACTCATAACATTGTTGACAACTTCAGAAATGTATCCTTCCACACTTCTATTTGTGGTTTGTGTTTTGTTTGGAGGTTTTTGCCTTTTATTTATTTTTTTTTCTTTTGCTTGGTTTGATTTGGTTTGGTTTGGTTTGGCTTGGGGTTATTTTTTTGATTTTTTAAAAATTTATTTCTAGGAACCAGAGATAATTCTCGTATTTTCATTCATGAGTTCTAACATACTTTCTCAATTTCTTTGCCTATTATAGCAAAATATTTCCAGAAGGTAAAAATATCTTCTGCTGTAAGGAAATACCACCAGAAGCATTTTCAAAATGTTGGGCAGATATTTCTGTTCAGACACTTATGTTGTTTAGGGGCAACTCAGAATAAAGTCAATTAAAATAACTCTATCCATGAAAATGCTGAAAATAAGAGGAGGGGACAACTTAGTTTTAGAGGCAGTTAAAAATTTGAGTAAAGAGAAGATAATTCAGCAGGATTAGAAATCGGAGCCGTTTATGGGAAATATGTTGGAAATACCTGTTGTACTCAACATCACCCATTGCTGAGGCTTTGTGGAATCCCTGGAGTGCCACAGGGTCAGTTTGTGTGGGCAGAGCTTGGGACACTGACCAGTGAATGGTGACAACAGCAACTGCAGGACCTGACCTAACTGGGAAGGTCCCAGTTCCACCCCAGCAGATTTTGGGCTCTTTTTAGTAATATTATAACATAATCCTACAGTAGTGCTATAGCATTTTTATAATTGGATAAGAATGCTACAGCACTACTGTAGGATTGTGGATTAAAAATGTCAGTAGAGTAATGGTTTAAATAGACAATTATGTGATTCAACTAAATAAAGTAATAAAGAGTAAACAAAAGCAGTGTACAGCACATACAAACCTACCTCCAAATTTAGTCAGCTAACGCTATGCAGTTTGTTATGATATTTCCATTGCAGTGAGATGATGTTCATGACATAAAGGAAATTTGGTGAAAATGTTCCTCTAGGCTTTAAACAGCTATGGAGAAAGTGATTGGACCATCTGGATTTCACTTTTGTTCTTCCAATTACAGACCAATTCAAAAGTATTGCAAAAGACTGACTAAAATCAAATAGTTTTATCTGTGCTACACAAATATCTCTCTGCAATTCTAAAAGCCAGTTTGGGGTCCCCCTTGTCCTGCCACAGGCTGAGCATCCTTTTCACACCCTGGTACTCAGCTCTGCCCTGCCACAACACCAATCCCACCCTCAGCCACACACCTTGCACAATTAGGACAAATTTTTGTTCTCCCATGCCTTAAGAGTTTGATGGGCAGCAAGTCCTTGTAGGATTTCAAACTGACCCCAAGTTCATGCTTTCTTCTTGAAGATCTGTGTATCAGGAGGGGCTCAAAATTCATTTATTTTCAATTATTATGACTCAATTTTGAGTAAGCTTTTTCGGGCATGTGAAGAAAAATTCACTGTGGTTGCTAAAAGTTTCAGGATCCTCTTTAAGAAACTGGAGAGCACAATTGCACTGTAAAATTCAACTGCTCAACTGTGCAAATTACACCCCAGACAGGTCTTATTTATTTTATGGATCCTATTTATTACTGTTCATTTGGGCTTTGTGTATTTTACATTTCTGGCAGCCCATACATCTAAATAGAAAGGAGTGCAGAGATTGTATTGGGCCAAAGGGGATTTTATCACTCCCTAAGGTGAACAGTTTACCCAGGAAAATTGGATCTCCACTTCATTTAATGTAAACCCTGAGGGAAATTCAAACAAAAGGAACATGCTGTGTTTATTCCTGGAGTTCTGAAAGTACCCCCAGCAGCCAGATTCCCAGTGTGGAAGGTGTCACTGCACCCCCAAAACCAGTACAGGGCTGCAGCTCAGCCCGAATTTCAATCCCAAACACACAGAAAGACTTGAATAAACTGGGAACAGGAAAAACAAATGTGAAAAACCAATGATACCAAGGTGCAAGCTGGAAACAGAGATTATTTCTCTGCTCAAGCTGTTCTCATGATTTCTGTCCCTATCTGAGATATTTTTATTTTTTACTGTCCATAGAGGACCAGAGACAGAAAGCTGCCAGGGTTGTATCTGCTACCCAGAAAATATTCAATACAATCTGAATCTGGTGTTCAGGGAAGTGTTCTGGAGGGCGTGTTAAAGGTGAAAAAGAGAAAATAAATAGATATAAACCTATGTTAAATGCACACATATCTGCTTGTGTGTACAGAAAACATCTGTATCAGCCTGTGAAACCACTCACTTCACTGAGGGACCAACACATGCTCAGCCCTCTGATTAACTGAGGACAGTAATCAAGAAACTTGCTGCACAAAATTGCTTTTCCTACATCAATTATCTGATAGTGTGAGGTATCACACACTATCTCAGTGAAAAAGCATTTTCTGGTCACTCAAGTTTAGTTTGGAGCCATTGCAGCTCTTTGTCTGCTCTTTCATCAACTAAAGTGCATTTGAAAGTCTCCTGGCCCTCTACCAGTGTAATAGTGATTTCCTCAAAAAGCTGAAATGCCTAATAATTTTTGCAAACTATGGAATGAAGCATTAATGCTGTGAAATGACCAATTTCCATGTGATTAAATATATATGTCTGTAGTAGTGATTCATCAACAAGTCCATATACTGACAACATTCCAGCATGCAAAACATATGACACTTATTAAGCAAAGAATTCACATTTGCTTAATATTTGCTCTTTGTGGGAGGTTTCCTGCCTCACTCTTAAACCATAATATGCTCTGCATTTCACATTGACAATGCTGAAAGAAAACCTTAAACACAAAGTCCACAGCAGAGAAAACTGTCACACTTGCTCATTTGGTTTTCCTTAAGAAAATATTTTCATAACTAATAACAACAGGTCCTAGAAATTTTTATTTCCTTTGAACAGATGCACTATGAATATCCAGAGCACATTACGAAAAGTGAGCAGGAAAACCAAAAAAGCTCGACAATCCCAGCAATGTGTGCTGTTTTACAAATCTGAAACCATCAATCCCAGAGATTCAGCCAGGCAGAAGTACTTACAGATGGGACAGGGACACCAGGTCATTGAAAGATCCCTCAGGAACACTGGAAATGTCATTTCCATGGAGTGTCCTACAAGGGGAGAAGCAGGAAGGTATCAAACCACAGCATTTTGTCTGCCCCCTGCCACTGAAGGAATGGATGCTTAAAAAGGGTATTTAATTTTGATTCTCTGAGAGTTTCTCTGAGCTTCACAACTCATGAACTTCCATGCTTTATCCCTCCTGCCTCGAGGTGTTGGCATTTAAAACAATGATGCAATCAGGAGTGTCGGTGAGTGCTGCTGTAAATTAAAAAGGTGACATATCATTTATGCCATTAAAAGTGTATTGATGACAAGTGGACCCTCACATCCACACCTGAGTTCTCTTACAGAATCCCATTAGCCAGAAGCACAGCAAAAACAGAGCAGGGGAAATCAGAATTGTGAAAGTTAAATTAACTATTGACTTCAGAGAGATCCTAGGAGAGAGAGCAAGGGTCCCTGAGGGTAAATACAGCCACACTTTCCCATTCTTACAGCAAAAACCACCTCTCTGTGCTACCAAGGAAAGCACCTGAAATCAGTTTTAGGACATTATTCACCCTGTGCAAAGAAATTATAATTTTAGCAGCATTTTCAGGACCCCTGAAAGGAGTGAAAGGGTTCTCCACTGTTTCCAGGACAATTTAAGCACCCACTTTATCTCTTTTCTGAGAAAAGACCCACATTTGTGCATGGGTTACATAGAGAAGCATAAATGGGAATTCCTTTCAGTGCCCCAGACATGGCAGAGGAGAGTGGAAAACAGAAACCTGCTGTGAGGTTTGGAGCAGCTCTTGCCCTTAAGTCATTTATTTCCTAACTTACCTGGTGATTTGCTGACACAGCAATCACAGTTTTTATTTGTGTGAGTGTACCTATTGTTGAAACACTGGGTTTAAAACAATCCAAATCTCAAGACAGACAACTGCCCTAAGTGAAAAAATAAAACCCATCTGTTTTTTGCAACCTTTCCTCTCTAACAGCACTTTTAGCTGCACCAGGATGTACCTGATGCCCTTCCAACATCCTGATTCTGAAATTTTCCTTTAAGCCTTTCTTGGTTTTGACTATTAATAATAAGTTGCCATATATAAGGGTGCATCTCCAAGAAATGAATCTGCACAGGAACAGGAAGGATGTGAGCTCCCACACAGTAACTCCAGATAAAACACACTCACTAATTGTGTACAGAATGACCCACTGAGTGAGACAAACCCACAGCTATTCAACAAGGAGTATTTTGGTGGTGTGAGGAGAGCTAGTCAACCACTTGTCATCAAAATGATCAATGAAATGAGCCCATTTAAATAAGCTCATGATGAGCTTATTGCTGATCTTTTAAACTGCAAGGCAATTCTCTGTAAACAGACATATTAATCTTCAGGTTGTATCAGTCCCATTTATCCTGTGAAGGAGTACATTTTCTCTTCTAGGTGTATTGGAAACATCCAAGAGAAGCTGAAGAATGACATGGCCATTTATCTGTAAGAATTTAAACCCATCAAATAAAACCCTTAGAAGGATTTGCTTTATTACATGTCCCAAACACTGAGGTGTTTCATGGATGCAAGTGCCTGCATTTTAATAAAAAAATCATGTCAGCAACATCATCACTCCTGCAACTAAAATAAAATGACAAATGCTAAACCCCTCTTAAAACTCACAATAATAAATAGTGGCAAGAGAATTCAACAGTGCAACAAAATCTTTCCTCTTGGATCAACATCAGGAACACATTTTTATACCAAATCTCCTTACAAGCAAATGGTCAAATAAATCCTTTCACATTAGGACAGTTAAAGCACAGACACTGATGTGTGTATTCTCCCTCAAAAGCACAACTTGTAGGGATCCTCTTGTCTGAGCCCCAGCAAACAGCAAGGGTTTGGATTTAAGGCAATGTGGATCCCCTCTGGAGGACACAGTAACAGAACACTTGAGAATCCTTGAAATCAAAACTTCCTTCAACACAGAACCCCGCTAACTTATTCCTTTGCCTTCAGGGAAGGAAATCAATTCAACAAATCCTTTTGGGCTGGGGTTTCCTGGTTGTTTTTCTTTCATGGACCCTTCCCACGTCCTGCCTGGCAGCCCATTGTCCCAGCCCTGGGCTCCTGCAGGCACAAGGGGGATGTGTTTTTTGGGAAGAGAGAAATGTGAGCTCTCAGAGCCATCTCCCACAAGGGGCAGACACCCCAGGGAGCCCCCAGGGTGCCAAAGCCTGCAGGAGCCAGCACAGCTCAGATGGCAGGGAAGCCACGGTGCCACTGCTCACAACAGCAGAGCTTTAAAAAAAAAAAGACTGCATAAATACAAGGAATCATTCCCTGATAAAAGAAAAAAAAAAAAAAAAACAAAAAAAAAAAAAAAAAAAAAAAAAAAAAAAAAAAAAAAAAAAAAACCAAAAAAAAAAACAAAACCAAAAACAACCAAACATAAAAAACCCCAGCCAGATGCTTCTGTTAGGTCAAATCCGTGCAGCACCCAGCAGTGGAAGTGTATTGCAAAAACTTTGTGCCCAAAAATTAATGGTGACAGCTTTATCATCACACATACTTGTGTTTGTCTGAGCTTTGAGCTGCAGGAAATATCCATCAGTTTTCAGTAAAACTGCAGTGTCTCTTAATAGAATATTCAATATTTCCCCTTTTCCCCCTAAGTATAACATGGACAATTATTTAGTGACCTTAGGAATTATTTTGATTTTTGTACTTTGCCTCTTAACTAAGTCACATATAAAAATATGTGATTACACAATGATCTTTAAAATAATCTGTTCGGGTCATTCAGAGAGCTCTAATACTTTTAATTTGTCTCAATCTCAGCTTCCCTAATCTGTTTATATTTAGTTTCTAAGAAGACTAGCTTTGGACAAATTAACTGAAAAACAAATCCACAACTTTTCACTGTAATAGCTTTGGCTCAAAAACCTACTTCTGCTTATTAAAAAAAATCTCCAGACTTTATGTCCTGTGCTCTCCTGCACCCTTTGGCTGCTATTATATTATGGATAAAGCTGAGATGGGAAGGCTGAGATTAAAGACCTGATTGTGTAAACACTGATAGATATTAAGAATTAAACATAAACATGTTGACTCTGCAGTTTTCTCAGAGCTTGGGCTGAAAAATCTAAGAAAGAGAGTTCAGAACGAAATATCTGTCAAAGACCAAGTGCATCATACAGCTATGATTATTCTGATTTTCAAAGCACTTTTTTACTGTATTTACTATAGAGGCAAAAATACAGAAAACAAAGGAATTTGGAAAACCTTCATGAGAAGGGTCTGCTACTTCCAAAGGCATGCACAGCCAAAAGTAATGAGATCCCTATATTTTTATAAAAAAAAAAAAAAAAGTGAAAATTGTTTTGCTGATGTTTTCTCTTTTAAGTTCCCCTGAGAGCATGGATAATAAAAAACTGACAGTAACACATTTCCTATTGTCTCTTGGAAACCATTTTCTCTTTGGAGAATTGATTTTTAGTAGCAACAGTGATGACACGTGGCAAAAGTTGTAGCTGATACCAGAGTTTTGTGGGCCATAATAAATCAAATCAATCTGGAGGCTTCCAAAAGCAGGGAGCAGAGGCAGAAATTCCCATTTCACTGCTCTGTGCAAGGCAATGGGAGGTTTCTCCCTTGAAGGAGGAAGACACTTTTTGATTAGCAGATCATTTTAAAAAGCCAAAAAACAACAGTTGTCATTAAAAAACTGCCCTCTGTTCCTGCCCATATGTGGCCTGCAAGAACAGAAGTGAAAAGACAAATTGTGGCTATTGGAAAGAGGGAGGCATGGTTTATCTACACTGTAATTCAGGGTAGAGAGCCCCACAGCAGCTTTAATCAAGCTAGCTTGCATCTCAGGAGCAGGCCAGAAGACAGCTCCATATGGAATAATTTATTTGGCCATGAAACAGAATATATTAATCTGTGGCTGAATTTCAGGATTCATGTAACAGCTCAAATGTGACCATCCCTGTGTGCTAGAAATCAGGATCCCAAGCCAAACTTAAAGCAACAAATCCAAATCACGAATCTTTCTTGTTTTTGCTAATGAACAGTGGGAATCCAAAGCTGCCTTGTAATCTGGGAGGCTGAAACTGAGATATCTGTTTTACCACTGAAACCACAGTGAAAGGTCTCAGCCAAGCAGCTCTGCCTTATTGCTCCCACAGTCCCAGTACTGCCCATGCTGACACTTTGATTCCACACTTATAGAACCAACACACAACAACCACTGCTCTTTAAATTAACACAAACTTCCGAAGCTGAACATCATCTATTTTTTTAAAAATGGAAAATATCAATGTGGAGTTTCAAAGCACTCAGGACAATCTTCAGCTCCTCTGTCCTGAGCTTTGAGTGTTCAGAGCTATCTCCCCTTCACCACAGACAAGATATTTAATGTATCCCCTTGGGCTACTGTGCAAGTCTTGGTGACCCACTCGTGTCTCTGGGCCATGGGAAGGTTCCTTCTCCAATCTCCTGACAGATATGTGGGGCCAGGTGTCCACAGAACCAACCCAGGTTTGTTTCTGATCAGGCAGTGGATATGAGAAAAGCAGGAGCCAGTCCTGCAGATGCCCGAGGAAAGCTGGGAGAGGCTCTTGCAGTGAGGAACAGCCCCACAGCCCACACTCTGAGACAATGTAAGGATGAATTTCACAAGAGATTGTAAACAAATGGTTTAATCCACAAAGCTGCTGAAAGCAGCCACACTGGAAAGAAAGGAGGAGTGAAGAAAAGGACCTCCCAAGAAATAAACCACACATGGATATCACTGAGCAGGCCCACAGACAATATGAGGTGTAATTTTATTCACAACTTAAGGAGATTTGAGACAGGCATCTCAGCATTACTGGTGCCCAGCCACTGGCCTGATTTATTCACTGATTTAATGTAGGGGCTTCTAACTTCCCTTCAGATCCCATTCTAGCTTGCCTGCATAAATGTGCATCAATGGAAAATATTCTGAAAATGCACAGAAGTTTTCCATAAAGCCTCCAATGGAAACTCACACTCTATAACCAAATGTATACAGACTAAGAGAAAAGCCTTTTCCTGTGGAGCACCCAAACATTGTTCAGGCAGCAGAAACAGATTCTGTGTAGTTTTTTGGAGACAGTTCCTCTGATGCGGGAGCTATCACCTGTTTTCATGACAGTTCCTGCACCTTTCAGAGAAAAGCTCCATAATGTAAACCCTGAGGGAAATTCAAACAAATGAATTTGCACTCCTCCTGCAAATATGTAATGGTGCTTTAGCGCTCACCTGCTCTGGCCTCTATGGGACAAATTCCACCAGAGCACAAACACACTGACACCAATGATGTGAAAATCCATTTCCCCCTGCCCATTGCCCCCTCCCTGCCCCAGGTGCAGCCTGCAGAGCTGCACTGGAGGGATCACTTACAGCACTCGCAGCGAGCGGAGCCCGGTGAAGGCGTGGACGGGGATGCACCGCAGCCTGTTGTAACTCAGGATGCTGCAGAGGGGAGAGCACAGTCACTACTCTGGCCTGGCTTTGCTTATTTCACTGCTAATTCAACCACAGACAGGCATGGAGACACACATGCTTAAGCAACGAGAGATACATTAATTTCCCAACAGCTTAGATGGTGTTGGAAAGGCAATTAAAGCTGTTATCAGAACTTTGGGCTACTTACAGCGTGGATAACTGAGTCATGTTGCTGAAGGTGTGATTGGCCAAGACACTGATGCTGTTGTTGCTCAAATCACTGGAGAAACACACAGAGAAAATATCATCTACATGTATGAATGGAGAAAAATGCCTTTTTGAAAATATTACATGATATCTGCACAGCAAAATGCTTGGAAGCAATTGAAAAGTCGCATATTATCAACTGGAGTATTTTCTGACCAACTTTGAATGAGCTCTAAAGGAAAAGCATATAAGACTCTCCTAAAAAGCCTCAGACTGAGAAACATTAAAGCATCTTTCCAGCATACAGCATTCAATGAAAAGAACAAATGAATAAATGATACAAGCACTGCTGAGTGTTTACTGTTCCAACTTGCTTTGCAATGCACTCATGGTACCCCACTTTCAAATACTTATCATACTGACAGCTACTGAAACAAAATTTCATTTTTCATTTTAAAAAGTCTTTTAGACTCAACCAGAACATTTTGTTTTGCTATTGATCTCCCTTGAAAACCAAAATTAGGGATGTTTCTAAATAAAAAACAATCTTGAAACAAAGCATTCCAATTTTTCATCCGTGTTGTTTTTGTCTGAGGTTGCCCAGCCCATTGGACTGGAGTATCTCCACAGCTGATTCCAACAGCATTTGAAAATTCCTGATAAATAGTTCAGGCAGGGAATTTCACTCCTGTGTATTTCAGGGAGCAATTTACAAAACAAAGTCTAGCTGTGTTTCTATCTGCAAGACTGTTCAGAAAAGAAAGAGCTATGCAAATTGTCATTGCCTTAGCACTGTAAATACTGCCTCATCTAGCACAAATGAATGTGTCTCCTCTGCTAATGACCTTTACAGATAAATCTGCCAAGTGAAACTGCAGCAGTCTGTGTGAGAGCTTTGTCCTCTCGGGGTCCTGCAGAGCAAGGGGCTTCTCAGGCACCTCACTCTTTATGAACATTTACTGGCAGCAGTGTCTACTGTGAAATTCTTTCCAAATTCAAATTACAGAAAGTTTTGGGGTTTGATGTTGGGCTTTTTCCCCCCACCCCACTCCAAATACCAATTATTTATGTTCCACCAACAGCACAGTGCAGAGAGAGCCATGCAATTTCCCTGACATTGAAAGCACGTGTTTCTTACATCAGTGTCAGGTGTCTGAAGGCAGAGAGCCCCTTTGGCACAGCAGGCAGATGGTTTCCTTCCAAGTATCTGAAAAAAGTCACATTTGACAATTACACAAACACATTAAGGAGAACTCACGTCACTCAATCTGCACCATGAATGAGGACAACATAAAGTCAGTCACTAATGAAATTACCTTTGATTCATTGCTTTGAAACTCTAACAGCTTTTACTTTATAAATGAATTACCCCACATGCAAAACATGACAGCAGCTTATTGATTCGCTTTATTTGTTTTAAAACTTGGAAGTGCATAAAGGATCTCTGGCCTACAGCAAACAGAAGTGACCATTTGGTTCTTCTGTGACAGCAGCTGAAGAAGGGGAGAAAAATTGCATGGCCTGTGCCCTGAACTTGGAGTTACCTTTCCCAAGTATCTCAAATTTGACAAATTCAGCAGGACAGTGCTGGCAGCTCCCTGACCCTGCCAATTGTCCTGGGCATGGAAGGTCCTTGTGCAGCCAGAAAGGGAAGAGGAGCTGCACTCCCAGATAGATCCCTGTGCTGCAAAAGGTCCCATTAATTCCAGCATCAACACAAACAAACATCCCCAAGTTTGATGGACATCCACCACAGCAATGCACCCTCCTCACCTCTCCTTTTCACAGCACTTTGGTACAGGAGGAAAACTTGGTATAAATTAAAGAGCAAAGACCAAGCTCTCCTGGAACAGAGGTTCCTCCTATGTGCACTAAATATATTTAACAGCATATCATGTGTTTCTAGTCTGGAAGTTTCAGTGTTTGAGATGCCACTGAACCTATTTCTATGCAGACACAGGCATGGAAGGGCTAAAGGGGATAATCCTAAGTCCTCATACAGGCTAAGAGAGTCTCCATTTTGCACTTTTTCTCCACTTAAGAAACATGACCAGTGAGTTAACTCATCAAAACCCCCTGAAAATCACAATACTTTTAAAAAGCCTGCCTAAAAGACAGTGTGGGTACTCCAGTCTGCACAGCTGACTGTGGCAGCAATGGGATGTAGGTGTTTCCCTGTTTATCACAATAAAATAGAGACAGAGCTGGAGGTTTTGTTCCTTAATCTTGGCTTTTAGGTACCTGTGGAAGATACCAAAATAATAAAGCTCCAATGGAAAGTGACTACTGTGGTACCATGGCTCTGCCAAGGTGTTTCTCCACACATCCTCCTGAATCAACATTTGCCTGGGAAACCAACCCATTCTTCTCAGAGAGCTCCATGAGGAGGAATGCATTCCTCCCTCCACAGGTGGAGTGAAAGAAAAAATGATATTTCCCTTCCTTACATGGTGCTGCAGGGATATTTCCTGAGGCAGACATGGGGCAATGCAATTGATATGGAATGTTTTGAAACATAATCAAGTGTAGCCAGGAAATGCAGCCCACAGACACCAGAACACTTCATGTGCTGCCTCTGCTGCTGAAAACAGAATCTGATAATCATGTTAGGAATTTTTATTCCACACATACAACTTCCTTGTCTTTGGCAACAGGCCTCCTTATTATGCACTTACTATAGCAAACAGCAATAATAACAGATTATCCTTGTGCCCTATGTTCCCTTCTACATTAACTGTAACAGCACAGAGATACTTGTGTAAACTAAATCCAAGAATATTTTCCCACAAACTTTATTTTTACATCATTCAAAAAACCAGAATCTATAAAAACCAACAGAATTTCTTACATAATATATTTTATAGCTGGTATTACTTCCCCCACCTTTTTTTTTTCAGCTTAATGACCTCTCAACATTTTCTGCTGCTTCAAATCTCTTTTTGTACTGAACTCCAGCTGAACTGCTGCAGCCAGGCTCACAGTTATCCCTTCTGGATGTGCACAGGATCCCATCCTGGCAGAATTCCCTTAGAGTTCACCTCAATCCCCACCAGGGTTAGGCTGGACAATGTGGGAACACCAGCTTATGACTTTTTACCCAAAAGAAATTATTTTCTCAATTATGAACTAATTAATCTCTCCCCTCCAACAAGTGAGATAGTTGCACAGCCAGCACAGCAGGGACAGTCTCACTAGCCACAGGACAAGTTGGCTGTGGAACACTTACACCTCCCATGGAAATCCACATTTTCCACAAGTGGAAAGCCACTTGCTGCATTTTGGCTAAATCTCTTAAATTATTGTGAAAAATGGAGTTCCTTGGTAATTTCCCACTATAAACTGGAGATTCTCAGTGTTTAGACATGCATGTCACATTTCTAACAGGGCAAACCACATCTCTTTCCCCCAGCCATGGTCTGCTGTGGATGCAGAAGGATGCTGGGAGTCTGTGCCTTCCCCTTCATCCCAGAAAATCACAAATCTTAAACCCACGGAAGAGTTCGAGTCTTTATTCCAAATGTAAAATTCTAAGGATTTCTAAAGGAAATCAAAAGCAGGTCATGTATTATGTATTTGGAAGTTATATATGATTTTCCTTTAGGAAAGGAGACTCTTGCAATATGTTGAATTCTTCAGGAACATATTTTCAGGATATTCTCTAGTTGATCTCAATATGAAACAGCCTGCAATTTAAACAAACTCATGGTAGTGAGCCAAAGTTTTTTTCCTCCTCATCTGCTTGCTGGGGCAATCAAAAGTCAAGGGTGCACATTTTAATTCAGTGCTTCATGACTCAGACTAACCCAGACATGCAGACCCCTGGAGTTAAACTCCTACAGAAGATCTGCTCTGAATAGCTCTGGATTTGCTCTGCAGCAATTTGATGGTTATATAAATGTGCTAGCAGAAAACTGCAATACTCATACCAGTGCTATAGTTTCTGAATAAACACAATTTGATTCTGAAAAAGCACTGATAACACACTTTTCATGTGTCCATAAGAACAATTCACCACTGCTAAACCTCTCACCCCATTATCCAAAACGTGGCAGCATTTTCCAAGCTGAAGGCATTCATTCTGAAAGCACATTTGAGTGCAGAGAATTTGAAATAAGCAAGGCTTTTAGGGCAGAAGAGCTTGCCAAGAATCAGGAGGATGTGGGATGCAGGATTTGGGGCAAACAACTGCAGCAGGGACCTCGAGGTGCCTCTGGCAGAGCTGGGGGTGCAGGGCACCCCCTCCCCACCTTGCTGGGCTCAGGGGGCTGGAAGCTGGACACAGTGAATAAAGGAATTATTCCTGAGGGCAAATGGGCAGAGACACAAAACTTTGTGTATTTATGAATGCATCCATATAAATAAAAAAAGCAGAGATGAAGCTCCAGATGCTCTGCCAAAAAGCCCCTCAAAATGGCCATAAAAGAGTCAATGTGGAAGGAAGATTAAATTTTTAATTCTTTCCAGCCAAAGGAATATGATGTCCATGGTGTCTGGTATGCAAAGAAATTCTGGTATGAATGAAGAAAAATTCGTGACTAATTTTAATTCTGGGAATCAAGTTATTAATATACAGAGTCAAGACTGAGTGTCACTTGCCTTAAAATAGACACTGACTGCTATCCAAAACAACCTCATTTGCTTCCTGAGGTCTCTAGGCTCTGTTTAAATATCAGATTGGAGGTTTTTGGTGTTTACCCTGTGAATGCTGCTGTGAATCCTCAAGTCTCACTAATGACTTGTAACCAACAAGCAATTGCCAGAGCAAAAACTGAGAAAGAACCCAACCAGAAAATCCCAAAATACATGTTCAGCTCTCAAAGAAAGCCACCACCTTCCTGCCTGGCCAGGATTCTTCTAGAGCATGGCCAGGGGGGCTGGCAGGGTGGGACAGGGCTGCAGCAGCCCCAGGGCTCATCCAGCATCCTTCACACACACCAACACTGCACATAAAGCATTTAAACCTGTGCATTAAAGATGACAGCTGCTCTTTCCCTAACTTGTCTATTTCTGTACAGAAACCACTTGGGTTGGAGGTGATATAACCAGCCCAAGGTGCCAGAGTATTGTGTAACAATCTGAATCACTTGGAATCCTTTTTGATCTGAGGTGTCTATTCAGCCATAAAGTCAAACTTGCAGTGGCAATCCATGCTAAGAGGAGAAGCTGGAGAGAGAAATCAGTTCTCAGGCAGTAATTGAAAAGGCACAAAACCTTTCCTTCAAATATTCCACAAAGAATGTTACATTACAAAAACCAAGATACTTGGCAGTTTTATGTAGCTCCGAAATTAAGTTACACGCCAAAACTGTTCATGTCCATACCCACTATCCTAAAATTTTGAGTCAAATTTAATTTCCTAATGGTCTAAAAAAAGAATTGGACTGGGAAAGAGGAAACATCCACAAACAAGAATTTTAAGAGCTTCAATTGGAGTTGAGAGGAAACAAAAATTAAGTGTGGATCTAGATTCAAATATGAATCTTGGATCATAAGTTTTGGCAAATTTGGACTCTGGGTTTTGCTGTATTTGCCATCAGAGCACAACCTCCATGTGTGACACACAAACATGGCTGTGTTTGTAAGTTAAACTTTTGTCTCTGCTAGTGCTAATGTCACCTTTCTGATATGGACCCAAACTTTACCAGTTACTGAACACATTATTTAATAATATTGATATTATTTACTTATTCTAAACTATCAGGTGTGAAATGCAGATTAATTCCTCTGTTTCATGAGGAAATAGAAGGAAACTGAAGAAAGACTACTTTAGAGGTAGTAAATGGACTGGAATTTTACATTTTGTTTCTTTACATTGTCATTGGTAAAGATAATGTTGTAGGGAGAGAAGTGTCCTGAAGGTTTTGTTTTAATTCTTACTACTTTTTCTTTTAGTTGCTGTTAATAAATTTCTCTTTATGCCCTTTTAAAGTTTTGAGCCTGCTCTGCCTTTCTCCTAATCCTACCTCACATCACAAAATAAGCAAGTGCACTAGTGATTATCAACACTGAACCCACCACACATCTATAACTAAAATATCCTCCACAAAACTCTCCCTCCTCTCAATGGCAGAATCCCCCTCTGCAGAAAATGAGCAGGACCACATAAATCTAATTGTTTATCTCCTTTATTATCAAAGGAAAACCCCCTGATGCCTGTGCTGGGGGTTATTGTGTAGAACAGTGTGAATTGCCAGACAAACAAGAGAATTTGCATTCTCAAGCAGATGATTTTTATCAAATATCTCACTCCAGAGTTTCCCTTTGATCAAGATGAAAAATGGTGCCAAACCGTTACAATATTCATTCCACAGCTATTCAAACTGCTGTGGGCATATTTGAGGCATTGATCAGCACAGCCCAGGTAAAAGCCACTGGTTTTAGTCACAAGTCTAAGGAAATCACAAGTGCCTTGGAAGCTGGGAAAAAAGGGTTGGGATTGGTGGTAAACACCTCCAAATAAATATGACAACTGATGTGTCAAATACACCAACCAACCCGGCAGAACAAGGAGCAGCAATAGGAGAGAGAAGTTTTGTGAGGAGAGAAAGAGAAATGGCAAAAGCAATGCAAATATTAGCCTGCATTGATATAAATGGAAGGGAAAACAATCCCTAACAGTGATGTATGAGTGCAGGTTTTTCTAACAATCCCACCAGTGCTATCCTATAGCTCAGTGTCATGACAACATTTGGAGTCTAGAGATGACATGATTGGTACATATTTATTCTAAAACACACCACACTCATTATGCTACAGCTTGTGCACACCGTCCACATAATTGCCTCCAATGATTTTCCCCAGTGCAAAATGTTATTTGCTGTAGGTCCATAAAAGCAGCTGGATGCTGTCAGATAAGACTTTATTAGAAATAGACTATACTTTTGTGAATAAAAGGCAAAAATCTAGTGTTCACACACTGAGGTAATACATTAAAGGAGAAAGAGCATGGGAAACTAAGTTCAAACAGATTTAGGGGAAAAAAACAGAATTAAAGGAAAGCCTAAAACACTAAGCAGCAGCAAGGCTGAGTTCCAAACTACTTCATTGCATGAACATTTTACTTCTGAACATCTGGAGCAGAAAACTGAATATATTCAAAAAAACCCAAGGTTTCTCTTCAGGGCAAACAAACAGTGGGAAAAAATGTAGGCAGTATGTAAATATACAGTGGAGGAATATACAATGAAGGAATTTGCAAGAAACAACAGAATATTTTCCTACTCCCAAGAAGCTGGAAGAGAGCTTGCCCATGATGACAGGGTTTTCTGAAGGAAAAACTGGGAAATAGAAGTTTCTTGCATCATCATTCCTCTAAAAAGCACTGAGTGATCTTTTCAACTCTTTTCTAGATGGAAGCCTTCCCTGCCAAGGTAATCCCTGCTCCCAAGGGTGGCACAAACCAAACACAGGGATGTCTCCTATAATTCCCAGCTCTAAATGTGAAGGAGATAATGGTTTTCACATGTCTTGTCTAAATACACATTGAAACAGAAACTCAGAATGAGCACTGAAAGGAGTGAGCCTGTGTCTCCTGTCCACCTGCAATAAAACTTTACTGGGGATCCTCTCTGCTGAGTGTACAGTGAAATTTGACCCAGAAAGGGCAACATTTCCCCTGTGTGCCTGTGCAAGAGGTATGCTTATTTTTGCACAGTGCTATTTAATATCTGTTACAAGGAAAGGATTCCCCCTTTAAGACTATTTTAAGACCTCTAAGAGAATTTAAAGAAATTTATGAGAAGGCTACATTCAGCCACAAGAGAGTGGTTTAAGCAGACACCTGACAGCTCTTTTTCTTAAACCATGCTGCACAAAAGCACTGCAGTTTAATAAAAAGCACTGCAAGCAATGTGCCTGGCAGATGAGTACATCAGCAGTGGAAGGTTATAAACGTCAGACTGGTGCATTCATAAAAACTGAATGCACTGAGATGCTCCTGTGCATCCTGTCCCTGCTCTGGGAGGGAGCTGTGGGACACAGGGACAGGAGTCCTGCATGTCCCTGGCACCTCCTTGGCACCTGAGACTCTGGGTTTGGGCAGCTGAACAAGGTAAATCTCATCCGCTCTGTGCCCAGGAAGATTTTGGGTTCCCTCTGCCAGGTTCCAGCTGTCCTCAAGATGAGACAAGAGGCTGGGTCCCACTGGAGATGCTGCTTCTCACAGCAACAATGGAAATTCTCAAACACAGAACAATAAAAATGTGCAACTTCACACTGGTAACCTGCATGATACAGCAGGCTATGGGCAATATCTCTGTCTCAATCTGGAAGCAGAAGAAAGGCAAGCAAGATTGATTATTTTTTATTTACTTACTTCATTCTTGTCACAGTTTCCACAAACACATGAAATTTCATGCCTCAGTACCTGCAACCCATCTTTTGGTTTAGAAACAAATAAGGAGCTCAGTTTATGTTAGTGGAGAGGAGAATGAGATCAGGATTGAATTTTGAGACAGCTGGGACAGATTCAAAGGTTATATTTGCAGAATATGAAATATTCAGAGCCAGGCAGTCCATGGCTGTCTGTGTTCTGCTGACACATTTCTGGATGGAAAGCAGAAAGCTGAACTAGAGCTTTGCACAGCCAAGAGGCTCCTGCTGAAGAAGACAGTCACGTAAACTCCTATGAACTCAGACTGCTCACTTCCAGGCTATTGCCTCATTTGCCAAGAAATGGTTAAGAAATTTAGCAGTTTTTAAGAATGTGAGATTAATTTTACTCTTTTTGTGAAAGCTATGTCATCAGGGTATCAGATAGTATCAGCAGAACTCAATATGCAAAATTTAAACATAAAAATTCCTCAGTGTGGCAGTGGAAATCAAAGTAACATCTGTGATACCTTACTGCTGGCAAGTTACATTTGAATGCAATGAAACCTGAACAAAAGCAGAGCAGAGATGACCTTGCAGACTTCTTAACACTGATGGCAATATATAAAGGAATCCAGGCCAGGAATTGCCTTCCAGTTCAATTCAATTCACCATTAACCACGCCCTGGTCATCAGTGCTCCAAGGACGCATTCATATTGCAAAGTTTCCATGTTGAGTTACCCCAGGCACCTCCAGTACCCTCCTTCACCCACAAAGCCTTGTGTTTGTCCACAGCACTGGTAAAAACAGTGTGAACTCCATTCTCCCCCCATGAGGGGAATAAAAATAATAGTTGGTACTAGAAAATAGCAGAACCAGATTTTAGTTCATTATAAAATTCATCAAACATACCAACCAACTCAACCAATTATTTTCACATAGAAATGCTGATGAGATTGTAACAAGTTTCAGTAATGACTCACCTGGGATAGATTTGAATAAGGGCCTAAAGGGGAAAAGCTCAGTATTTCTACTGCCAACTGCTTAAGCCAAGCAGTTCCACCAGGATATTTTCTTTCCATGGAAAGAAAATCCACTATAAATTCCTACTGAAGCGTGGATGAAAAGACAACTAGAAAGATGGTTCTAAACTAGGATGAATTTACTTTGCAATATAATCTAATTATCTGTTATTTTAGCCATTTCATGAGGTTTGGAGAAAAGAATTCCTTGTTTCCACCACCAGCTTCCTTTTTTTTTCTTTTTTTAATCTCCTCAGAGGATAATTAGCTCACAGCTGCGTAACTCAGGAACATATTTTCATCATCCCTTCAAACTGCCTGTTGTGAGCTTGGGCTCTCACAGAAGCACTACAGGATTATTTGATACTAATAAATGCATTTGTTCCTACACCCAGAATTAATGGGTACAAGGACAGATAAACTCTGTTCCCATTACAAAGCGATTTATTCAGTCAAGGGACAAATAAGAATAAGAATAATGGTCAGAACATACGGGAAGCACCAGAGCACAGATGATAAAGTCAAAGGCAAACCCCCCAGGGACCCACAAAGGCTCTCTAGGATGCAGTTTGATGAACTTGTCGAGAGAGGGGATAGGTAAAGGGTAACTTACAGCTCAGTCACATCCTTGGGGATCCCCTTGGGCAGCATGCGCAGCCCCTTGTTGCTGCAGCGAACCACGGAGTCCACGCAGGTACACTGGGCAGGACAAGGAGGGGACAGCAGGCAGCTGCTCTCGTCATTACCTGCACAGGGACAGAGGCAGGGCGTGAGGAAATCAGCACTGCAGCCCAAGGCACCCACTGTGAACATAACTGGTGACAAGGACCAGGGAGGGGCAGCCTGGATCCAGGGTAACCATCACAGCATTGCACACCAGAACCAGTGCTTTGGATTACCCTGACCTCATGCAAGCTCTTTAGGCAACATGAACAGCTCATAAACTGAATAGAAATATTTTAAAACATTATTTAATACATTTAATTTTTTTTTCCTAAGGGAAAGCTACTTCATAATATAGTGCAATCCAATGTATGAATCCCAAATCCTCCCTCCACCAGCTAAAATGGAGAGCTCGACCAGCACATTGCCCTTAAGTTCATCTACAGAGATGATATTCACTATCTATTCTCCTTTTGGAAGACTTTTTTAAAATGCAGCTTTTAGATGTTTTATTTTTTTACTTTTCATCACTACCAATGATGTTTATTTTTTACTTTTAATTTTACACCAGATCCAGTGCTTGCCCTCATGCAAGTTCTCTAGGCAACATGAACAGCTCATAAACTGAATAGAAATATTTTAAAATATTATTTATCTAAAATATTTTTTTTCCTAAGGAGAATCTACTTTGTAATTCTGCAAATTATATGCAATCCAATGTATGAATCCAAAGGCCTCCCCCCACCAGCTGAAATGGAGAGCTTGACCAGCACATTGCCCTAAATTCATCTAGAGAGATGATATTCACTATCTACTCTCCTTTTGGAAGACTTTTTTTAAATTCAGCTTTTAGATGTTTATTTTTTACTTTCAAAGTCAGCCTGGCACTTTGTTTATGATCTGAATTGTAAAGCCTCATTGTTTTCAACAACGATAACCAGGCAAACAACAAACTGAGGCAGCACAACTCCAACTGCTGGCAATCCATCTGTGCACACTTAAAAATATCAACTTTCTCCAAAAATGGTTTCAAAGGTCCATAAACAGCAGATTAAATCTTGTAATTGAAGAACAATAGGGTTTCTGCAGTAGAAAGCAACGCTTTGAAGCTCAGAACATTAAAGCATGGATTTTCCCCAAAAGCAACAGGCTTTGCAAAACATAAGGCACATGGCTGCTGCAGGATCACATGGATGTGAAAGGAAACACTTATGGCACATTCTGGGGATGACAGGGAGGGGAAGCACAAAACTCTGTGTGAGCACGGGCAGCCCGAGCTGAGACCCAGAGCTCCCAGCCTGCTCCTTCCTCCTAACTGATGCAAGGACTAATTGAGACAGATCTGGTTATTCCTCCTCTCTGCTGGAAGCACCCATGAGCATTGAGATTAAAGAAAAAGACTGGAAGTCCTGGTAGAAGATAACAGAATTAGCCCTGAATGTATGGGTAGGAATCATTTGCATTCAGAGGGCTGGGGAGGCACCACCGGACTACAGAAGAATTGAGATTTTCTTTTTCTTTTCTTCCCTACTGAGTTTAATGACTGGAAACAAAATTCAAAGTCCTTCATAAACCTGCAGAACGAGCATGTTTTTTCAGCATATTTAATTTTCCCCTGTGTTCTGTGTTTCACACCCTGCCACCACCTACTTTCCATTTGCCTCAACTCCAAGCTACTGCCTGACAGAGAAAGCTCCCAACTGTGGAATGACATTTCGTGCACCAGGATTCTTCTTTTCTCCCTAGTGTGGAATGTCAGTCTGTGGACCAGGATTCTGGTTGGTTTTGGGTTTTTTTCTCTCAAATTAAAAGTGAATTATTCTTTTATAACTAAACTTGGGTCTCTTGAGCTCCGAGCTCAAGAACCTGGGCCTGTTGCCAGATCGCTTGACTAGGACAGGAATTAATTTTTACTCTAAGTAGGGAACTTCTATCACTCTCATTGTCTCTTTAGAGGTATGACTAACTGCACCTCCAGCCTCCCTGGTCTCAACAAGCTGCAAGTCAAGTTAGCAAGGCATTCATCAAGCAATGCTCTCCTTACTAGTTTCTCTATAGTCTGCTTGATTAGAAGACAAAAATTACCTGGAGAATGAAAGAAATCTCAGAGTATTTTCTTTTAAACTCACATAGACCCAACAAAGCATGAAGCATCAATCACTGAGTCATTTCAAATAATGTCTGAGGTTTTTTTTTTATTTCCCTGTATTCACCTTTTACTGGTGACCTTGAATATTATCCAAATCTAAGAGACTTTCCAAGCAAGCCAAGACTCCCACTGATTTCAGAGTGTTAACTAAGAGTAAGGGAGGATTACACCAGGATTAGACAAAGCACAGCATTTGTCTACAATAAATTAATATAATTATTATATTTAGGTGTAGATAGCAGAAATTCAGAAACTGGAAATCAAGAATTAAAATATATCATTGATAGAGAACAGTGATCTTCAGCTCTAGGTGGCTGCCTTTTCCACCACCAAACCAAAATTTTTACTGTGCAGCACTTCTTGGTAAGGAGGAGCCTTCTCAACATTACCACAAGTGCCAAATCAAACTGGAATTTCTTACCATCACAGGTGAAGTCCTGGACATCTACATCTTGGATTGGAATATCCTTCAAGAAAAAGGGTTTCAAGCAGCGTGGATTTCCACTGACAATTCTCTTCTTCCTCAGCCACTTCCCCAGCCAGGCCAAATGGCAGTTACAATTAAAGGAATTAGCCAGCAAATTACTGAAAGGGAACAAAAGATGATTCCATTACACATGAACATACAGAAATACTGAAATAACCACAGAAAGATGAGGGGCTCCAAATCCAGGCTCTTTCCTGTGTTCCTGTGAGATCCCTACTCCATTCTGCAGATGCAGGTTTTATATTAGGGCTGAGATTATAATTAAAATATATATAATTATGCATATATACATATATGTTTATGAACTAAAGCGCTTAAAAATATTATTTAAACATACTTACACCACTACCAGGGCTGGATTTATTGTGGAATTCAACTCAAGCTACAGCTCACACCCAAATCTAAACTCACCTCACAAACTGCACCCATGTGTGCATGATCTTTACCATGACCATGTACCTGCCCCAGCACTCCCATTCCCTCTGTCCCACACAAACCAGAGCCAGGAGGGAGCCACTGGCAAGTGAATTTGGGGCTCCTATTGAAACAGCAAGGATAGTGCTGTACATGTAGATATATAGATATATAGATATATAGATATATAGATATATAGATATATAGATATATAGATATATAGATATATAGATATATAGATATATAGATATATATATAGCAGCACTGTCATCTTGAGCCACTTATGAAGATTTCTCAGGTCTGGGTACTTTTAGTGAAAAGCATCTGCTCTGCTGCCCTGTGAACTTTGTGGGGTCTGCTTCAAATCTTGCTGCAGCTCCTGAAATATCTTCCATCCAGAGCTGCAGGCCAGGCATGGGGCTGTGGTGTGCAGCCCCCAAAGCAATCATCTGATCATCCCTCCATGAGAGGGATGGAGCCTGAACAGAGCCTGGCTTAGCAGCTCCTTCCTAACTAAACTGCAGCTGAAGGAAAGAGGCTGAGCTCCCTGGTAAAAACAGAGAGCTGTCTATGCCAGGTACAGAGAGGGAGAAGCAACAGCCTCAGTCACAAAGAAGAATGAGCTGTCGGGGCCTGTGCAGGCAAAATGAAGTCTCTAAACTAATATTGATGGAATATTCACATCATGTCTGAATGTGGCCAAGAGTTAGTATTTTGGTAGCTCAGAAGGAAATACAATAAGGAAATTTCTTTAAGTCATAGCATATCTTTTAAAACAAGAAATTTGAAGGCAAGAAACAGGCATTTCAAGTGCAGGTGTAGTAGCTGAAGTAGCTTTTAAGTCTTCACTTCCAAGATGCTTTCACAAACCTAAATATGCAGTCAAAATCAGATTAGGACTTCAGCCAAACAATTCCTTCAGAAAACAATAGTACTGAAGACAAAAACATGCAGCACAATTGAGGTGGGGCAGTTAGAAAGCAAACCCAAAGCAACTCCTACATTCTGTAGGTTCTAGGCCAAAATCACAGAGCCACAATATGATTTACAGCTGCTCTCAGCACTGCAGCACAGCCTACTTCAATCACTGCTCTGCCCTGGAGCTCTGGGGTTAATCCCACATGGATTTAACACAGGCTTATGGACATTGTGGAGAAAGGAGAGCTGGGGGGAGCACAAAACTCAGCATAATGCTATAAAAACACTCCACCTGCTTCACACTTAGACTCAAACGCTGCAGAAAGGTGAGAAACCCAACAGGTTACGCAAGAGCTTTCATACAGAAGGTGCAAAAAAGCACTGAAAGCAATACTCTAATTCTAACTGCTTTCCTCCTGAATTGTTTTCCATTCTCTTTAGTCCATAATGGGACCACATGCAGGATGCTTTGTATATTTTCCACCCTGATAGACTCTGGCATGAGCAGAGTGCCTGAACCAAATGTCTGGTGCTTCAAAGGCCATTTGTTCCACTGGTGGGAGAGAGTGAGATCATGTTCACAGAGCTGCTCCCATCTCACAAAGCCTCAGAACTGAGTAATCTACCACTGGGAACAAACAGCAGGTGTGTATAATCAGGTTTCTGGAAAAAAGCAGCAGCTCTGAGGGTAAAGGACATTTTGTACATCTAGAGAGCATCTTACCAAGACTTGTCAAAAACTTTCACAAACGTTCCATCTACAAAATGCTCTGTATCAAGAAATAGTAATTATCCCTGTCTAGAGAGGAGAGATTGTTTTGACTTAATGTAACTATCCACGAAGCCTCCTTTTCTTCTTGGCAAACACAGGTTAATGTATGATGTGAAATTTTTGGACTCTTTTAGTTTAGAAGTTGGATTATGATTTTTCTTGGGAAGTAAGAAAGAAATAGGTTGTTACAGATAAAATTAACAAATAAACAAGTCTCCCATTTAGAAATTCAAATCACTCCAGACAGAAAAAGAACAAATTTATCTTGTCAATAACTCCACATGATCTCCTGCCACTTTAGCAACTTCTATGTTTTTATCCTTTTCCAACTGCAGAGCAGGGATTTTTAGCTTCAATGCAGTCTGAAGTTCATACATGTCCCTACATACATGATCCTTCCATGGCAAGGCTGTGATGCAACTTTTGATAGAAATGCAAGATGAAGTCCCTCCTTAAACTATCACATGGATAAAGAGATTTCCTACTTGACTTGAAATGGAATTGAAAGCCTGGAAAGGCTAATTGTATGTCAAAGCTTTACTGAGGAAACTGACTATTCAAGTGGAGTTCTCAAATCAGAAACAGTAATGCTGGGCAGAAAAATGGATGTGAAAACTCATCAGTAATAATCAGAGTTCCTACACACACAATAGTGATTTACCCACTCAGACAGAAATACAGCAATCAAACTTCAGCAGAGATTTTGTACTAACATTAAATTCAGAAGTGTTTACTCAAGGACATGGACATATTTTAAAAATCAAGGGGAAACAGAAGTCTTGAGAAATGAAATATGTATATCCTACTACGAGTGCCTCTTCAAAATTACAAAGAAGCCATAGAATATTAACTATTTAAATGGATTCTAGTGACCTGTTAGAAAAACATGCTGGAAAACATCTGGATGTTTTTGAAATTAGATTGAAAATATATTCTGGAATTCAGGTTAAGTTTATACAAGAATAGTTTTATGTCATTCTGGCATTATGCAGTCATGCAGTTATTTTAATATTAATCCATGGAAAAGCAGTTCTGCTTGCAAATATTTCCCTTGACTGTGTAAGGACTAAAAGACTGAATTTTCTGTGTGAAGAACTGCAAGGACACTTCAAATTAAGATACTACAGTGATCAGTTTGACCAACAACAAAATAAAAATTGCAACTTTTTCTACCGAATAGATGTTCTTCCTCTATTGAAAATCATTAGATAGGGTATTACTTTTAGAGTTGACCATGTTTTTTTAGAATATCAACGAGACTGACTCACAAAGGGTAAGAACAAAAGGAACAATGCTCTTTAGTGCTGCAAATATACCAATATAAAAATGGAAATGGAACATTGCATGAATTTCTGTCTCCCATTGATAGATGTGAAAGTAAGGCATTACAGTACCCCATTAGCTCCCAAAGTGTGGGCTGAACAGGGAAAACAGTCACACCATCTAACTTCAGTGGTGTTTGTCATCCAATAAATCCACCTACAGCAGAGAGCTGCCATGAAATGAACAAAGCTGAATTCTACATTTGAATGGCAAAAATCACCATGGCCTCAACCAGGGTCTAAAGAAGTCAAAACCACACCTTTTCTGCCTGTAGATCAAACACAGAATGCAAATGTGTCAAAGAACAAACTCTTCCACCAAGACACAGCTAGGAACCAACAGGATTATAAATCAGTGCCTAAGCCATGCATTCTAATCAGCAGCAGCTTTAATTGCTCTTGCTAGAAAGTGCAACAATCTTTTCCCACAGATGAAAAAAGAAAATGGGCTATTCTCTAACAAAATATGACAAGGAGAATCCCATGAAAGCAAGGTAGGGGCTTCACAGACTGATTCAGAGAACAGAGGAGCAGCAGGCACTGCCTGCAGCACAGTGACAACAGCTTTCAGCAACTGTCACTTGCTTTGACCAGAGACTTGAAAACAGTCAATAAAAATAATCTGCTTGTGTTTCTCTCTTTGTCCATCAACTATGAGGAGATTCTCGGGACTGCACAATGTAAAAGGAAAGAAAATTCTGTGTTCCTTATGCTGCACAGAGCTAATGCCAAAATGATAACTGATTTGTTGGTGAAAAGTTGCCACAGCAAAGGGAAAGTGTCAGCAACAAAACAGCAGAGATTCAACACATCCTTCTCTGCCCAAACATGATGAAGAATGTTTTCCAGTCCTGAAATGCAATAGGATTGTGAGTTTATTTTGACTGGACAATTAGGCTGTATTTTCAAGACAGACATTTTCCATTAACAGCAACACCAGGGTCCCCTCTCACAGTTGGAAACAAAAGGCAGACTTTCTTTCCATATTTATCAGTCTGTGCTTTATTAAAATGGACACACTAAAAAAGCATGTAAAAGTATTTAAGAAGCATGGGAAATATTTCAAAGAATAACTGAAGAGTGTAAGAGAATTAAAATAAAGCTTAGGTTGGGATTTTCAAATTCACACTCAGTAAGATTTGACTATTTTATCTTCTTCAGATGCTCTGAAAATCTAAGAATTAGCTAGTAGACTTCTGATGTTTAACTACTTTAACTGAAATCAAAGAAAGCTGTTCTTGCAAAATCAGACTCTTCTGACACTAAAGCAGCTTCAGGGAGCTGAGTGTGTGATAAGCTACACTCTGTGAATCTGCAGAAATTGTTTTACATGACCTTTTCCTGCACGTTGCACTGGGCTGTGACACAGCAAACAGCAAAACAAAGTCATCCTGCCTGAGGCTGCAACCTGCAAGTTGCCGAAACTATTCAATTAAAAAAAAAAAAAAATCACACCTTGTATCCTCCAAACCTGTGATTTCAGTAGGATGGAGTTTTCTTTCCCTAGACGATATTTTCCATATCAACTGAAATATTGTCCTTTTTAAAAGGAAAGCACAGAAGAACATCACCATGCCATGTTCATCCCACAGAAAGATCACTTACATTGTGGACAGAGAGACCAGGGTGCTGAAGGCCCCAGGGGTGATGGTGCTGATGTGATTGTCATACAGAGACAGGAGCCTCACTGAGCTCAGGCCAGCAAAGGTGTCGTTGTTGATGCAGCTGATGGAGTTGCTCCTCAGCATCCTACAAGGGTTAAAACAGGGAATTAGGAACCACTGGCTAATAATTCAGGGTGGGAAGTGCTTTACCAAAGAGATGCTATGGAAATCATTCTGGTTTTACTGATTGCTGAAGTGGAACACAGCTAGAGGAGGGTTAGGTTCATATAAACATGGTCTTGTGAATTTAAAATGCATCTCTTCCACTCAGCATTAGAGGCTATGGGAGCTGCACATCTGAAAGCAATATGCAATTAAAATTATTACTAGTGACAAACCTGAAATAAAACCTAAAGGCTCAATTTAATAAATATCTGAGAGTAGGCTGAGATGTGTTTCAGTGATCATTTGAGAAAGACTGCCAGAAGTGGGTGACAATAACAATACTGGCTGCATTACTTCTGCTCATGTCCTGGATGTTTTTTGTATTCCACAATGCAAAAGCATAGAAGAAAACAGAATCCTCATCAAAAGTCAAGGAATATTGTAGGAAAGATTTTCAGATCTGGCACAAGCTCTGGAATGTCATTATCATTATTAATTCTGAAGACAAAACCCAGTAATTATTCTATAAAATGGTCTTTGCTTGGTGCTTGTAGCAGATGAATCAGTGCTGTGTTTTGGAAGATCCATCTCTCTGAGTTGTTATGGTAACAATGAACTCGACAATAAAGCCCAATTAATCTGAAAGACTGGAATATCTTGTTTCACTCCATTGCAGAAAAGGCTCATGTGTATTTGTTACACTGCATGCCAATCAATATCTGGGTTTGTAAACATCACTGCACTGCTGTGATATTCCTACTTGGGTGAAAAATCATTCAGTAATTAAAGCACACTACCAAAGCCCCACAACGTGCATGCAGCTCCTGCTGCTGCTGCAGTGAATTGATCCCCAAACTGAGGAGGGTTAACCCCTGAGGATCCAACTCCTGGGTATCCAGTGAACAATGGAAATTCAGACTCCCTCTGAAGTTTAAATTTAAATCTCACATTGGTATCTGCTAGCTGGGCACTGAAATGCTACATCAATGCTGCCTGAAAATCACCAGAGAGAGTTTAGATGTGGCTGGGAAAACACTGAGTGTCATCACAGACATTGCCTCTTTGAACACTGTGCTGCTTTTGCACCACTGCTCTCTGTGCAGTTACCAGCATCACGGTCTGTGTGATTTTGGGATTGCAGCTGGGGTGAAACTGTGTCAGGAGAGACCCACAGGGCACAGAGAAACACCTTTGCCAGGTCAAGAGCACCAGCTCTAAAATGAACAAGCAGTAAATGGGAGAATAAGGCCCTCAGCAGCAGCAGGAAACATCTCTCCTGCCCTGCATGGAAGGTATCAGGCAGCAGAACTGCATGATGGGATAATTTCAATGCCAATATGTCCTGCACAGTAATTTCTTGCATTGCAGGAACATACAGCCTTTTAAAAGCTGGACCATGACCCTGAAAAATGCAACCCCTTTGCAAAAGATTACTATTTTAATGCTGAAAGAAAGTCAATTAATGGATAGCACTATGTGTCCCTCAAGCCAAAGCCTTTGGTTTCATATCATGGTTCACCATGCACTGTGTGCCCTTCCTGAAAGAACACTTAGACTCACAAATCCTCACATCATGCTGTGTATATTTAGACTGCTTTATCAGCTGGGGGAAATGTAGGTCAGGTCAGCAGGATAGCTTGAATGTTAAGCATCTTTTTATTAAAAAATGCTGAATTTTGTTTAGGAGCACTGCCACAGGCTGCTTTACAGTATAAAAATTAATTTAATATCTATGGGCAGTATTTTCAAATCCCTTACTAAAGTGCATACATTAAATTGAGGAACAGATGGCTGTAACCACAAAAAATATTAATGGAACTGCAAAACTTCCATATTTGTCATCACAGAACAAAGTCCTTGAAATGAAACTTGAATTTCTTTTTACAGTTGAGTAAGGACTGTACTAATTGTGTCATGATACCTTCCAACATAAGTAGTATTTTTTTTTTGCTAATGAAATTGCAGATTTTATTTGTATTTTGATTCCTTGAGTCTATTTCTTGACTAGCTCCACCTAGACAAGTGCTTTCTTCCTATAGCACAGCTCCAGTTTGGGTGGAGGAACAGTGGGAGGATGGACAAAGTGATAGCAAACATGTTCCTGAATGTCTTGTTTCCAGAGGAAATAACAAAATAATAAAAGCATTAAACGACTGGAAGTGCACAAATCTGACACATGACAGGTTCCCCATCATGTCAGCCCTGTGAAAATCTGTCCATTATATAGAAATAGCCCATAAATCTCAAACCTGCCCAGGAGCAGAGATAGATTGAAAGCCTCAAGGCCGAGCAGCAGCACTGGCTGTGCAATCACAGATATTTTAGCAGCACTGCTGAGGCTGAGCAGTGCCCAGGGAGGAACAGAGGCAGGGCTCTCACTTACAGGGTCTTGAGCCCCGTGAGGCCCCTGAACATCCTGCCATGCACGGACTCCAGCTGGTTCTCCGTCAGGATCAGCTCCTGCACGCCCGCGGCGCCGTCGAACGCGCCCTCCCGGATCTCCTTGATCTTGTTGTTGCTCAGGTTTCTGGAAGGAAACACCCAGTGACAACAAGAAAATCAGTAGTGCTTCATTCCAAACATCACACTGGAGGGAGGGAGATAGGGAGAATTTGTTCCTTTGAGTGGTTATCTAGAGAGATCCATCCATCCATCCATCCATCCATCCAGCCAGCCAGCCAGCCAGCAAGGACAGCATCCAGAAATTCCAAGTATTCCTACGTTCTCACAAATAGCTCCCTTGCACTCATCAAAACCACAGTTATTTCAGCTAAATCAAGATAATATCAGATTTTAATACTTCATGTAGTTGTTTCTTATCCATTTCTCTGGAAAGAGTAATTGGGAGTTTCCAGCATCTGATTCATGTCCATGAAGTTATGGACAATGCTTGGGTGTGGGTGCTCATCTGGCAAGAGCCAGTTAATGTTACTGCCATTGAAATGGTGTCAAAAATTGAAATATGGGCCACTTTTATTCACTGTACCATGAACGCATACCAACTTTAGTGTGTGCACTTAAACAAAAAACCACCACTCAAAATGAAACAAGTATCACTTAATTGTCAATTCACAGCCACTGCAACACACAGCATTATTTTCTAAATGTTTACTCTGCCTATACAGTCACAAGATGTTTGCTTATAGATCCATATAACAAAACTTTGATCTACAAAGTCAAATGAAGTTCTCCTGAAATGCAAAATTAATCTTCTGAATATTTCATATTTGTGAAAACCCCCATGAAAAGACAATTTCTGAATGATAAAAGTGCCATCAGAGATGCATAAAAATAAATGGCATTTAATTATTTAAAACATTTATATAGAAGGCCTTAAGCACATGAAAACTTTGAGCCTGAGTCCTTCAAACATCTCCCATGATGTCCTGTATAGATTATGATGAATAATTCTATTTGCTGAGGTCTATGACAGGAAACACTGGTCTTTGTTTTACTATCTACCACAAAAAGGAGAAAGTACAAGATATATTTTTGCTCCCAAGAAGATGCTAAATTCCAACACCATTACTCATGCAGAATAGCACATTATTCCAGAAATGATCCCAGCACAGACACAGCATGAGTAATAGTTCCAAAATCCAATTCCAGGTGATATAAAACAAATGACAAGGTATCAGATTAACACCTGGGTTACTCTGCTCAGAAGAGCTGGCAATCTTACTGGGATAAAAGTTGACAGAAGACATGGAAAGAGGACAGCTTGGCCTCAGATAGAAATAATGTGGGTCTTGCTCTTTTCAGAAGTCATCACTTAATAAAATAAAATAAAAAAAGAGCCTTGGAAATATGTTTCATGTGGGAAACTGGAGTACACTGGTTTATGTCTGCTGAACAACTGTCAGAGAGTGGGCCCTACAGCATGTGGCCCATCACCTCTTGTGCTTTCTTGTGATCAGAAAGAATAGGAGCACGCCAGCAATCAGCCAAAAATAACATAAAAACATCTAGAAATACTTACAGGCAGATTTCTCTTTCCAGAAGTTTAGTGCTTTGTGCTAAGGCTCACATGAAGAGTTTATGTTCAGTGTCAAAGCAAGTCAAGGGAGGATATTCTGACATATGCATTTAATTTTGGGGCTCAGCTATTTCTGCAGTGGAAATGTTTATAGCTCAGCATCTCTCCTGAATGCTGGCATAAATAAATGCTCCCAAAGATGCCCCTCCTGGTAAAGATCATGCCACGATGCATATTTGCACAGAATAAGTAAGTAAATGTTTGTGGTGGGAAGGGAGGGTGAGTTGCTATAACAGACAAAGACTTTGCAGATTGCAAACTGACCTACAGTTGTAGTTGTAAAGTTTTATTAGTTACTTTTTGCCAAATAAAAGATATTTAGGTACATGTATTAAAACAGGGGGGCAATTTTAATGGTCTATTAGATACTGAAGGCAGAAAAGAGCAAATATTGGAGACAAAAGCTGGTCACCATCTGCAAAGGAATTGGCACCTTTATACAGTGCTAACATCTGAATTTTAATTGCTGCCAAAGGACTTCAGCAGATAGGCAACTCTGCTCATTTGAGTTAATAATGCCTGATCTTTTCAGCAAGACAGAATTACCCATAAATATGCCAGCAGCCTCAGAAGAAGCCAATTATAAATACCTTTCCCATGCAAAAGATTTGCAAATCCAACATTATGCTGAAATCAAAGTTGCAAGGCAGAGAAAGGAGAAGCTCTGCAGTAATAAATAGGTAAAGATGTTACAGTCCTGCAATCCTGCCTGGAGTATTGACAAAGCAGATGTTCTGCCAACCTGGATTTTGTTATTTGTCTTCCTGAGTTGGAGTTTCCCATATCAGAATACAACAAAAAAAAGTGGTAGATGACAACATTCAGTCACCAAAAGGAAAAAAAAATGTTTCCTCCTAGAGTCTGAACAGCTAGAATTATAAACATGAAGAATTATACACTTTTCAGTCTAAGAGTTACCAGGAAAAATAATCAGCTGGTATAAAGCTTAAAAAATGAAAGCACTGTAACCTTTTGCCTGATCTGCAACTCTGAGACCTCTAACTCCATCCTTCCTAACTCTAAAAGATTCTTTTATATGTGATCATCACACTTGACAAGGAATTTTTTTACCAGAAAAAAACCTACTGACATTTTATAGCAAACTCCCACTACAGAAAAGCCCATCCTCTTCTACCAGGAATTCTTCTTGAAATACTGAAGACAATGGAAAGAAACTGAGTTTTGAGACTCCTCTGCCCTCTGGCAGGACCTAAATGGGAGCCAGCCTGACTCCTGAAGGCTTTTTCCATAAGGACTTCCTGATTTACCCTGGTGATAACATTCAGTCCTATTTCCAGATTTCATTTTGGGCAAGAGGTCAAAATAAATTTTCAGCAAGCCTGGGTCTGCTTTATGGGGGGCTGTGAATAGGAAATGAAGAGATCAAGAAGCTATCAAGGTGACATTGTTCACACAGCTCACTTTTCAGTCACATTTTATTCACTTCGAGGCTGAAGTTTATAATAATATTATTTCTGTTGATCTCATAACTGCAAGAGTAAGCTGGATTCTATTCAGAATTAAGAGAAGCATTCACCCTGCTGTACCTGCTGGGGCAATGTCAGCATTGCAGCTCCCCAGGGCTGAGTTACTGATTCACCTTTTAATCTGGAAACTCTCTGAGAGAGATCTGCAGCCACAAGGGATCTGCTTGGTCTCACCTCCAACTCTGCAGTTTTATCACAAAACCAGCCTGTTCTGAGTGGGGTTTCCCTAGAATATCTGTCTGCTGGAGATGTGCTTGGAATCCTTAAGCACGTGTGAGGAGAAAAGCCCAGAGCTGCTGCATTCCTCTGGAGGATGCTGAGGGGGTTTTACAATAGTCTGGCTGGGTTTGGTGGTGTGAGCTGTCCTCAGGAGCTGCATGGCACTGACAGCCTTAAATACTGCACACACACAGTGAATGGCACCCAGTGCCACCCCTGCACTCAGCCAGCACAGCAGACTGCTGGCCTTGCTGTAAAAACCACTCTGAGCCCAAATGGCACAAAGCACAACACTCTCCTCAACCCCATTTCCAGAAAATAAAATCTGTTTCTGTGTAACAAATGACTGCAGCCTCATTTGCCATGGCAAAATTCATGCTTAGGGGAAGGAACAACAGGTAACAGCTGTTTCCAAGGGCACAAACTACTTCTGCCTCCCCCAGAAACCTGATAGCCTGGTTTTGAAGCTGTCTCCTAGTACACAGACTTTATCATGATTCAATTTTATTTCTCATGTAAAATGTTCAGATCCTGGTCTGACACTCCATACAGTTCAATCTAGCAGGAATACTTACAGCCAAATTAAGCCTCCAAAGGCAATTACATGCTGGAGGTGGGTTGGCAGTACCAGCTATTGGCAAGCCAGCCTGACATTTCCTACAATAAAAACCATATTATATGTTCACTTTGTAACTTTGGCAAGGCTTAACTGAATGAACTGTTAGATGACCCTTTCAGGTTTTGAGGTAAACATTTTTCATTACTCTTGTTCTCAAGAGAAGAGGTCAGTCCCCTTTCTCCCCAGCAGTGCACGAAGTATGGCAGTTCACCTCTTTATTTCAAATGTGAGCTCATTGCTGATTTTTTTTCCCTGCAGAAACAGCGGCTAGGAGCTCCGTGGGAATGGCCACTGATTTCCTGCAGGCACAGGGCAGCAGGCAAGCTCTAGAGATGGCACCTGGGGGCTCCAGCCTCTGCCTGTGGGTCAGCATCCCATTTCAGCAAGTCTTTCAGAGTCTCTCTGTGCTCCCTGAGCCAGATACCCAGGGGGTTTTGGACACTGAACCTGTCATGGCCAGGAGACCCCTCCTGGCTCCCACTGCCATGGGAATCCCCAGGCACTGGGGATTTTTTGTTAAGTGCTCTGTTCCCTGTGTAAGTAGATAGCAAATAGGAATGAAAAATGCATGCTATATAAGAGTTTACACAAACTGGAAAGCATCTGTCCTCATCAAACCTTCAGGATTTATGTTTTGAAAATTGGAATAATTTGTTTTTATTGAAATCTTACAGTAGGGAAGTACAGTGCACTGGGCAGGCACTGGGATTTTCTCTAATTAACAGCTGAGGCATTGCCAGGGAGTGGTGGGTTCCCAGTGCTTGATTCATGCTGAATTTGGTGGCTGCTGCAAGAAATGAACTGCTGGCTTCCACAGAAGTCAAAACTTCACCTCTTGAATGGGGATATCTCCCCTTTCTCTACCTGACATGAGACCTGGATGTGCTGAGTGGGAAGATCTCCCTGGAAACTCTGGAAAGATAATTCCCTGTTGTTTCTGCATTGCAAAACATAATTCCCTGTGAAAGGAAGCTGCTTCCAGCTCCCATGGCTGGAGGGCAGCAGCTCCTGGAGCCCTTTTAGGACACCCCCAAAAATCCAAGTGCTGGAGCTGCTCCCACTCCTAAAGAGCTCAGAGATGCACCCTTGTCCCTCCAGGCAGATCTAAAGTGCTCTTTGCCAACCACTGCAAAATACCAGAAACACAATCCTTGGAGCCTGAAGTTGGTGGAATGGGGAGGGGACTTTCAGAGCTTTCAGCTTTTGCACAGGTAAAGCCACACAGTAAAAACACATTGAAAGCAAAACAGAGGTCACTGGAGAACCCAGTAAATTGCTTCTGGACTGGATCAGACCTGTCTAGAAAAATCTACACCAATCTTTTCATTCTACTGTAAAAAGCATTAAACATAAAGAAAATTAGAATTTACATTGTGAAAACCACACTGGGTATATGGGATTTTGCAGCTAATTATTGAGGTTGATTAGTTTTTTAAAGGCACATTCTGATATGTTAACCTTTTAAAAACCAGCAGGATGATCTTAGCTATTTAATTCCTAAGTAAAATGTGGCATCACATTGCATTATGTATCTCTGACCTTTACATTTTTATGTCAAGAATTCAATTTTGTTTTGCATTAAAATGTATTAAACCCTAGGCTGACACATCATACAATAAGGCTCAGCTTAGGAGGAATATTTGCAGACAAATTACACCACAACAGCTAATTACATGTTAGAGGTGGGGTTGGTGCTGCCACATGTTGCAAAGGTGGGCTGACACTTCCCTTTTTTCCCCCATTATTTTGACTCTCTGGAAATCTACTGGAGCTTTACCAGTCACAGTGAGACCATAGCTCTCTGAAATGAAGTTTATTTTCAAGTTCCTTGGCATGGATCTGTCACTACTCCTAAAATCAAGTGAAAAACAACCAGAGGACAAGCATTCAAATACCCTTCAGATATCCACATTACAGATATTCAGATTCATTTCAGAAAAAAATAGTATTTCAGAGAAAAAAATAAAGAAAAAAAGGAGATATTATTTAGGTTAGTGTCCTGCCACTGCAAAGCTCTGAGCTGTTTTCTTAAGCCTAGGAAGCAATTCAATTTCCAGACAGATTCCTCCACCTGCTGTTTGCCTTTAACATTCAAGCAGACAAGGAATATATGATGAGACAGAGTCAGTACTGTCAATCAAATAATAGTTAGGTTTCTTGTCCCTTATACACACTAAAAAACGGGGATTGGATCAATGTTGTTCCTGTCTGATTCAGCAGCAATCCCACCTGAGGCACTGCCCACATTTCCCTCCTTGCTGGGTGGAGAGGGGCCTTTCATTAGCAGAGGGATTTGGCCTGGTAAAGGCCAAATAATAACTTGGGTGTTTGTTTGCTCGTTTCTTCCTGGTAACCCCTTTTTTCACAAAATGGAAGAAACATAAAGTCTAATCTGGCTTTTTAGGGATCAGGCTATTGAGTAAAGTTGTGGTTGAAATGTTGCTGTCCTCAAAGGAAAACCACTGTTTTCAGAAAATTCCTTTAATCAAAATGGAGAAACTTCTTTAGAGCATCAGGCGGAACAAAAGAAATGAGCTCAGCTACAAAGATTTCCTAAGGAGCCTCTGCTTGGAGGCTGCCACTGAAACGCAGCAAGAGACCCTTTGTAGGGTGCAGCTTCCTTTTGCCATGAGTTTGACCTGCTCCTGCACACCTCTGATCTCAGCAGCTACCAAGGACAGACAAAAGAATCTTTGGTTTCACAGGAAATAAACTCCTAAAAATACCCTCACATTTCATGCTGGATTTATTCCCAAAATACAGCCCCTGTCGAGGCATCCCTCCCTCTGAGTGATCGATGAGGACAGGAGGGACAGCACTGTACTTGCCTACTGTAAGATTTCAATAAAAACAAATTATTCCAATTTTCTAAACATAAATCCTGAAGGTTTGATGAGGACAGATGCTTTCCAGTTTGTGTATACACTTAAATAGCATGCATTTTTCATTCCTGTTTACTATCTACTTACACAGGGAACAGAGCACTTAACAATGTCAACATCATTTTCTGAGCGCACTGTAGCTACAAATTATTGATCATTCATAAAACATGAGGCAAATGTTTGTGATTAGTTCCCCAAGCCTGATGGGCTGTGCTTACACAAATACAGCCCCACCCCAGGCTGCAGTGCTGCGTCTAAAACTCTTGCAGAATTAAACAGAATCCCACTGCAGGTGCCTCCAAAGCCCCTGAGATCTCACAGGGACTCAAATGGCCAGGAAGCTCCAGCTGGCACAAACCACGTGAAACAAATGCACAACAAATTGCCTGTGTTGGTTGGGTTCCCTAAATTAGCCTGATCCAGACAATAAAACCTTACTAAAAGCAAACAGTTAAATGAGACATTAGCAATGGGTCCATAGGGTTAAAACTTTAAATAACTTCAGAGGATCCATTTTGAAGACTATCAGCAGGTATCTGACATATTATTCTCTTTCCAAAACATGGCTCTTATTAAATATATACAATGCACAGTGCCAGAACTGTCAGCAGAATTATACAGCTACATTTGAATGACTGATCTATATGTTTGCTAATTTATTCTCCTCTCCAAACCAATAATGATCACCAGAAGCTGCCATTGTCCATATCTCGTAATATTATTTTCCTTTGACTATCTGAAACAACCCCACCACAGCTGGAGGCACACAATACATTTGAGAGAGAAAACCAAAATGTCATAATCAGCTCCAACAATGAGCATACAGTGGAATAAACTCTGGGACAGAATTCCTGTCAGTCTCTGAGTGAAAGACTAAGACATGTAGCCTTAAAAACGCACTGAAATGTCAGCCTAGGGATCTTCATCTGTCACTTGGTTTAACTGTGCCTGTCCATCCAACAGGGAACTCCTTCAGTTTTGTTAAACTCACATTAAAAAAGTGATTTCTACTACTGCAGTACATTAATACAAAACCTCATCCCTCCCTCCTTCCTTCCAATGCAAGGCTGCATGTACGGTAACAAGAAACTCAGACTTACATTTTCCTGAGGTTGGGCAATTTCTTGAAGAGTCCAACAGCTTCCAAAACAGAAATATCATTGTCATTGAGACGCCTGGGAGGAACAAACAGAGGGATATTTAGTGCTTCCCAGATGTCTGTGGATACATCCCTGTGACATTCAGGGCTGCCACACAGAGATCCATGACCTTTGTGAAGCAAGGCTCTCCCTGCCACCTCCCCCAGACTCCTACAGGTAACAGAGTTTAGCTTTGAAGGAAAAGGGACACAGAGGAGTATCTACAGTGAAAGCTTAGGGTGCCCTAAAGAGAGTAATGCCAAAGGACAGTGTCAGAACCCCTTCATCTCCCAGTGCATGGGACAAGGAATTACTGAGCTAATCCATTGCACACAAACCCCCTGTGCGTGACTGAACCTCTGTGGCGCACTCTGCTACACCAGGCACGCAACTGGAGATGGGGCCATGTAACCAGCAGGGCTCTGATTTCAGCTCTTTTCCTATAAAAGTCTGCTGATCTTCAAAATGAATGTGAAGGCCACTGTCTTGGCAGGCTTGGGATGTAAAATTTGTTCTCTGATTGCACACAGCTCTGTTTTGCTATGCAGAGTCTCTGCTGTGCTTCTGGATGTCTCTCATATTTTTTCTTAACTTCAGATCAATAATTTTATGAGGTTTTAAATAGAATAAGCACAATAAATACAACACTAACTCAAAAAAAAAGAAAATTCTGTTTGAATGGGCTACCAATGCAAGAAAAGAACCAGAATCTTCAGTTGCTAAGCAATAAAAATGTTTTCTCATACTCAAATGTCTTGAAGTTACATTAATTTAATAAGACCTGCTCCACCCGAGTAGCAGGCAATGCAATGAGCTCCCAATCACAGATTCACTCAGATTGTTAAAACCATTTCTTAAATGGTGCAAAGGCAGAGGACTCCAGGGTAGACTGGACAGGCAGGACAAAGCTTGGGCTTGGCCAGCATTGGAGGAGGACACAGGGCTGGTGCTAAGAAAATGAAATAAAAATAGCTTTCCCATTTTCACACCGGGATAAAACTAGAAGGTGCCTTTAACAATCTGAGTTGCTTTTACAGCCTTTAAAAATTAGAAAAGCCAACAAGTGCAGCTGCAGAGCCTGTCAGGGGCAGACTCACAGGTCAGTGGTGTACTCAGGGAGGTGCGTGGGCAGCCGGGTGAGTTTCTGGTTGGAGCAGTCCACCACTGTCCCCTCACAGCGACACTTCTCGGGACACACAAGGTCCATGAAGCACTTCCCAGTGAATTTACTTCTGTAATCCTCTGAGCCTGCAATAAAAGGGAAATATATTCCAGCAAACAGTTGTTGAGAACTGCAGTGACCATGGAATCCACCCTCAGCATTGCCTCCTGTCATCCCCCAGTTCCTGCAAACACTTCTAATACTTGCCAAGGACTTGTGCTCAGCAATTTTTAAAATTACTCCCAAGGCTTGTCCCTGGTTTTTCACTCTCCCCTTAACAGAATAATTCCTTGTCTAACAAGCCTACCTGTTAAGGTATTTTCCAGCAAAGGCACTTTTTTCCCATCTGGAATTTAGTCCAGCAACAAGGAAAAGGCATCTCATGAAAGAATTCAAATGACAAAAGACTTTTGAAGATATAATTTGAAAGTCCCAAATGTACAGACCTCAGCTATTAGAGCTGTTTCTCAGAACAATCTTTTATTAGACAACCTTGTCAACTTTCCAACAATTAGATATCTTTATTAACTATGTTAAACAAACAGCAAAGGAAAGTAATAGCAGTTTAAATCATTTTCATTTTAATTAAGGAATGGGTAGAGCATACTTAGTGAGAAGCACTCCCTGATGTACCATTACACAGTGATTGCCAGACCTCTTTGACTGGGTTTTTGACCCATTCTAATGAAATGCTTTTCCAATTAGGCTCAGTGAACTAATCTGTCCTTTTCAGGTTTGGTTTTTCTCATTTAATAGCAGCAGGTTGGAAACTCGATCTCAGTGCTTCAAGGAACCAGGAGGATTAATAAATGTGTGTGTGAGCAAAGTGCTGCCAAACCCCCACCATGCAATTCCTGCCCACTCACTTCGTATTTCATAATGGAAGCACCAGAACCATTGCAGAGCCCTGTGCAAGGCCCGGGGATTGTAATCACCAAGAAGCATTTTTCAAGGTTTCCAAATTTTTAAAAGTCAATTACAAGGCTTTCTCAGAGAGAGGAGCTGAACAAATGTTTTAAGAACCCAAAAACATCAACAACTACTTAAACCTAACCTGAAATTTGCTTATGGAGCCTTGATGACATTCATCACCTGCTTCCCCTTCCTGACTGACAAATATACCACTGCCCAGTTTATGACCATGCACTATTTTCTGAGAGAAAAAAGACATTTCCTAAATCCACTATTATTTTAATTTATGTTATGCATTATCTCCACAGGGTGATGCAGTGAAAAAAAAGCAATTCTACAGGCAATCTAACACTCTGATCCCACAGCAACACTTTGGTTTAGTTTTGTAATTCCAAGTTGGATTATGAGAACACTGACATACAGATTTGTACCTTGCTACTTCAGTGGTGCTAAATTCGTTGTTGGTTTTTGTGCTTATTATAAATTATACATCCAAAGTGCAACTTCCCTGACAGCACAGTACTTAAAGTATTAGGACAAGTGGGCATTTTAAAGCATTATAAAAATACAGTCTAAGAGTTTTCCCCACACCATTATCATTTAAACACGTATCCTTTTAAAAAAATCTAACATTTTATTTCCAGTCCCAGACATTCCAAGCTGGGTAGTCAGAATGTTCGGTTGTTTATGATTCCTTGGAAACAATACCAAAGACAAACGGTTATCAGAAGCAGAGTTTATTAAAATTCCTACAATTACAGTACACATGGAATAACCCACCAACAATCAGTGATCAGAAAGTGTCTTGGAAATCTCCAACTTTAACCTTGAAGAAGTACTACTAAGTTCCCTAGTGAAAGTGTTCGTTGAAAAAAATAATCACAAACAACATAAAGTTTCATAGGGTAGACATTTATTAAGTAAATTTTTTAGTCTACTGATGGATACAAGATTCACCTTCCCATGGGGAAAAAGGGATGGGAGAGTAGAATTCTATATGAAGGAGAAAAAGCAGTGTATAACATTGGAGGGTGAAAAATAAATATTGGGTTTTCTTTTAAGCTTTCTGGCTGAATAAATGAAGAATTTCAGCACACTTTGACTTGGCTCCCACCCTCCTGCTGGTGAAGCACAGAACCTTCCACACTGAGCAGCTCTCAGAGGTTGATGCTGCCTGGGCATCTGTGCCACCATTGAAACAGGGGAAAGGAAGGGAGCAAACATCACCTTCACATTTGTTGTTCCTTCTCTCTCTATTTTGTTTTTTCATTTTTCTTTTTGAGTTTAAACAAGAGTTACTCAGGTAATCACTGAGTCAAAAGTAATCAACAGCCTGTATGTGCTCAGCAAGTACTCAGCCATCTCTTAGCCTGAGAGACAGCAGGAATCACCTGCCAAAAACAAGATAAAATTTACTGTTTGACCTGAGCCTCGAGATCACTTGGACAGGTGGCTGCTCTATTAAGATATTCCCATCTGGGATAGCAATGTGAAATGCAGCCATCTGCTTGCAGAGCTGTTTAAGCACACATATCCATTCCTGCTGACTGCCAGGCTCTGAGAGAACACAACAGGGCTCAGGAAGCACAGCTCACCCCACAGGGATGGAATACTCCTTGTGCACTGTAAAATCATCCATGGAAGCACAGAGAAGAGATGCAGGACAGAACATGACCCAGGAGTCTCTAGCAATTCCCCAAATGAGGTAGAATTAAAGCTTGCTGTAAAACAAGTAGCCAAGGCAACAGCAAGGCCTGTGTGTAACTGAGGGCAGTTGTAGTTTTTTGATTTGTTAGTTACTCTGATGACATTTTTATTATTTCACAACCAATGTGACACTACTGTCAGGTACTGTGATTTCTTCTTATCATAAAACAAACACACCATGGCATTCTACAGAACAGCAGCACTGAGATAAAGAAACATCACATTTCCAAGTGCTCAAACATTCTATGTGCCCTTCTGATACCCATATGGAGAATCAGGCAACAGAGAGAAATATATTTTTGTTCTACACTTCTTATAAAGCATTGTTTAGAAAACCTCATTTCAGTTTTTAAAACTTAGCCTTGCCCAAAGAACTTAGAAGGAGTTCCAGAGGATCTGTTCTGGTACAAATCAGGCTGCCTCAAAAGTGACCTGACACATTCCTCCTAGAAAATTATTCAACTGCCTCAAATTTGGCACCAAAAGTATGACCATTGAGATCAGTTGGTCTAAAACTTGAATGAAAGACACAGAAATCTCAAAAGTTCTTCATACAACCACAAGATCACAATTCTCATAGGGAATAAAAAAGAAGTGCATTTTTTTGGTAATAATTTCACATTGCTATTGTTAATTTTTATCAGTAACTACAGATAAAATCTAAGAATCCTGCATGTCCTTCTTTTGACAGTTCCACAATAGAGAAGTGAGAAATTTGCAAGACAAGGAAATATTTCAATGTAAGAAAACTTCTGTATGAGACTCTCAAAGTCCTTTATGAAAAGGAGTCATTATCTCTGTGTAGGAGGGGAGTTAGGCAGAAGTATTTTGAAGATCTTGTGAAAGCTGTCAAAGCTAAAATGGCCCATTTGGATTTGCTGACTCAGCTTTGCCCTCTGCAATTCTTGGACAGTGGTGTTCCCAAACAGGCCATGTTAGCCATGTCATTTTCAAGAGGTGAAAACAATGTTTTGCAGACTCTTCTGAAGCTTTTTTTTTTTTGCATTATATTTGTTCCCAATGCAATGCCAGCACATTAAGAGCAGGTCCAAAGTTACACTGCATGGCAGATGTCTTGCTGCAGAAATGGCAAGTGTACCTCAAATAGAAGGATTCACTGGACAGCTCAGACAGATGAAGCTTACATTATGCACAGAGTATGGAGACAAAAGTGATTTTTAATCTCTGTAGGTATGACTGGAATCACCCTTGAACATTATGAACCAACAGAATGCCTGACTCCTCCATTGTGAGAACAGTTAAACAGATTAATTACTTAGAAATACATAGAAATGCAGTAATTCTAATTACTCAGAAATGGTTATTCTGCATGCAAGCCCTGTGGAAAGTCTGTGCAAACACCTCTGTGGCTCCCTGGGAGCCTGGTTAGCAACATTTCTCGAGTTCCACTGTGCCCAGAGGGAGAAAGGGAAAGGGAATCTCTCACCTTTTGATGCTTCTGCCCCAGCAGAAGTATCCAGGCATGCCATGCTGCAGGGAGTATGCAGCCTTCCATGGTGCTTGACAGAACCATGTTCCATTTGTATTGTTCTACCACATGGTTAGATCAAGCACAAAGGAAAACCCCATGGACAGCCAGAGTCAGAGTTAGGCAGCGCCAAAGAGAGAGGAGCGGTCAGAGGAAGCAGCATGGAGAAGCACAAGCTGAAGGTTCACGGAGAGCTGCTCTCCACTCCACCCATGCAAAAAGGTGCTGGATACAAGAGGTCATCCTTTATGCTACTGCAGGAACACCCTGGAGCACAATTGGGGTTAGTGAACACGAACAGAGCCCGGGCGAGTTCAGAGACAGAGCTGGCACGACAGAAAACACCACCAGAACAGAGCTCACTGCTCCTTCAGAGAGCACCTGCAGCTCCCACCACACACTGAGTGCCCAATCCACACTGCTTTTTATTACTTACTCTCTCCTGGTGTCTCCTTTCAGTAAAAATGCCATTTAGGTTTGCTCCATTTATTTCAATGTAACCGTAGAAATACCGCAGCCCATGTTAATAGCAGCAGATTCTGAGCTGATGGCCAAGCTCTGGCCTCAAATGCTCCCTGAGTGCCCTTTGAGCCTGATTTCAGCTCCCAGAGGCCCCTCATGCTGGTGGCACTTACACTGACAATCTGCAATTGCCACTGCTTGTCTTTTCTTCTTATTTTGGTTTCCTCTGCGCTTTCCAGCAGAGCAGCACACACATACTACTGCAGACACAGACAGCATTTTGTTATTCTGTTTCTGAGCACATTTGTTGGGTTTTGTACATCACTCTCTGATGGAAGCTGAGCGTTCTCTATTTCCGACATCCTGAATTATTTCAAACAGCTTTGCTCCTGTAACTCATCCCTGCAACTCTGACATATAAAGCAGAACATTCAGTTCAGGCTTGACTGCTCCCACTGGAATAAAGCTCTCCCTGACTCCGCTGTCTGCAGAGCCGTGCCAGTGGACAATGATTTT